AAATGTGCGTGACATTTAATGAGACTTTACTGTGTGTGTGCTTAGATCTTGATGGATTTGCTAGACTTGGCAACTGTTTAAGCTCGCTTTTGAGTGGGATTTGTTTTAGTTGCGCAACTTATGCGTTCCTTTTCATATAAAAACTGTAGGTAGTTGGCTTTAAGCCACAGTTTGTTTGTACAAAAAAAATACACGAGTGCCCAGTTTTTTTAATAATGGGCTTTCCTAATTTCTTAAATTATTTATTATAAACTTTTAAATACTTTAAATAATTTGTATTATTCGTTAGTAATTGTTATTACTATATTTATTTATTAATATTTATTTACTTTTATGTTTCTTATTAATTATATTTATTTATATTTTTAAAATTATTTTTTAATTTCATTTAAATATATTTTTGGGTCAATTAATTATTATTTTATTGTCTTTTTAAATAATTTAGGTTTAATTATTGTTTTTATTTTATTATAAAAACGAAGCAATTTAGAAAATACTCAGAAAATAGTTTTTAAAATATTAAATTAAAAAAAAAACAATAATAGAATTATTTCATAAAAGCAGTTCTCAACAATAAGCATTTTATTTGACATGATAACAAAATAATAGTATGCACTTTTTGCTGTATATGACAACAAATGTTTAATTTCGCATTCAACTGAATAAATTTCTTAGCAATCAACATTTTATTTGACAGCAGCTCAGTTTGCTCTGTCAAAACACTTGCTGCACACCTTGATATTGGCCTTCAGCCGACCAGTCTATATAAATATAAGCAAAAACTCTTAACACGCTGCACAAATTCTGGGCAAAATGCAATATTTTAATGCTATTCGGTCACAAATCACAAAAAACATGTAATAAATTAACAATTAAACAATAATAATTCTGCAAAAGTCCACAAACGAACATGACGAACAATTGACAGCATAATTGCATTCTACAATTGAATAAGAAAAATATAAATAATTTGCAGCAATGTGGCCAAAATGTGGAGCACGTGTTTGGCTGCCAAACAGTTTTTCACTCCATCCAGACATGACAAAATATTGATTAAATGATTTATTCTGCAAGCAGCGAGCAAGCTGGCAGCCAGCAGACAACGTTGCGTATGCGCAATGTGCGGATTGGCAAAGAAAAACTCGCGCCAACGCGGTCAATCAATTATCATAAATCTCGAATCAGCAAACAAAAAAAAATAGTTTAGATACCAACACAAAACAGCAATAGACGACTATTAGATACTCTGTAATAAAGTATGATATATAAAAAGAGAATATTAATATATGAAAAGTTTTCGTGGCACCTAAAACTTCTTTGAGTATATCAAAATAATAGCAATATATGATATAGTATTACTCCAGCAGCAACTCTTTATATATAGAGTATTCCTAGTATATGTGCCCCATTGAAGTGAGAGCATTTAATACACATTAGTTGCACATATCAAACGGCAATTAAGCCTCTGTAGGCAAGAGCGATAACAATCTTTGTGGTAAAGCGCTGACCGTTCATTGAGTAGCTTACTATATGATTGACAGACAGACTGACGGAATGACTGGCTGACTTAGTGAGTGAATGAGCAGCTCTGCCTGGACAAGATTTATGTGTAAGTTGACATTTGAAATGTCAAAATGCAAGTTGGCCAACGGCAGCTGTTAGTAAATGCAGGCGTAATGCGTTAACAGCAACAGTTGTTGCCGTTTTTGTTGTTATTGTCTCGTTAACCGCCCACCGCTGACCTGAATAAACGAAGAGAGAAAGAGAGGGAGAGAGAGCGGGAGAGGAAGAGGGAGAGAGCGCTGGCTATCGACCACCCGGCTGTGTTTCTGCTTGTCTTTTAATAGCCTCACGTAGCCTAGCGCTCGAAATTTCGTAGTTAATTAACCCGTTTGCATACATTTTGGCTCGGCCAGGTCGGGCAACGACTGGTCCTGCCAGCCTCTACGGCCAACCGACCAACCAGTCCCCAATTCCCAGTTGCCATTTCCCATTTCCAATCCCCACTCGTACTCCCACTACCATGGCCATAGGAATTATTTATGCTTTCTTTGATCGAATTCGGCGCTGGAGCGTCATAATAGTCACAGTTCTCGCGACTCGAGCGAGTCTCTCGATTGTTTTCGTGCGCCCCATAAATTAATCGAATGTTAACTCGGTTCAGGAAATTGCATTTGACTTGAGTGCAGTTTGGATTGACTTCAAAATACCCTGTAGTTAAGTTAATTGTTAAACAAGTTGCTTTTAGCAGGTTTTCATGGTTCTCATGGACACATTCTTTGATCAGCTTCTAGAGATAGTCATTGAGTATATGTATATAGCAATCATAGCCTATACAGTCAACTCAATGTTTACAGGGTATTCACTAATTATAGCATTTTGTTTGTTATAATAAACGGTTGCCGGTGTTGTGTTTGCGGCGCCCACAAAGTCAATTCAGCTGTTGAAGTGAATACATTAACTACAACAGACATAATTAAGTTGAGTAGTCGAAGGTGGAGTCACTGTCCCGATGAGAATATTAAAATGTAGCTGAAAAAAACGCTTTATTCACAATTTCAGATGGATGAATTCAATACTCTAACAAATAGAATCATCAAAGCGAGCCAAACTTAATTGAGTAGTAGCTTGTGGAGTCGTTATTGGGAAGATGACTATAATAAAATATAAATAGCCTTTATAAACAATTGAAGATTGCACAGTTGAAAAATACAATGAAAAGAATCATCAAAGATGCGCTAAAATTAATTGAGTCGTGGTCGATGGAGTCATTGAGGCTGAGAGCATTAGAATACTTAAAGAAATTATTGACAGAGTAAAAAAAATTTATAAATGAAAATATAATAATTTTGAATTGAAGATGTGATAATTCTAAATTAAAAATGTTATTGGATTAATTGGAAATTATAAAAATAATTTAGATAATAAACTTAACTTAGCTTGTAAAGATTAATCCTTTATTTTATTTTTTATTTATGTAAACAATTCTATATTTTTATAAATCAAATCAAAATGAATGGAAAGGATTTATATATATTGAACGAAAAATATGGATATTAATTGGATAATAATTGAGAACTGCAAAAGTACCTAAAGAATAGAAAATAATCAACTATATAGCTCTAATATTAGTCAAAAATAAAGTCAATTGAATTCAAGACTAAATCTTAACACAAATAGCTAATCTCGCTATAAAACATTCAAGAATTTGGCCGTCTTGCTAGAGTTGGACTGTTCGTCCCGCCGCTGCGCCGTCGGTAAATTTTCATTACTTTTGCATTGTGGCATGCATTGGTGTCATATTGCGAACACATTTATAACATATACGTTAATCCGTATGTCTCCATTATGGAGGCACGCGAGATTCGTGAAAATGTTGGAGTTTATGTGGCCGGAGAGGCTTACAGGCAGACATCGTTAAGACGTCTCGACAACTGAATTATGCTTAAGCATTATATTTGCTCGATTAGTTTTTTTTTTTCGTAGTTAAAAAATTCGAGTCTGGCATTTTAGAGGATTGGAGTCACGAGTGTGTTGAACTCACTCACAAAACAAGTGGCATGCCACACGCTGTCCGTGTCATAAAAAACCAAATTTTGAAGTCATATGCAAATTGGTAATGCGAGCGCTTTCGGCTAACATAAACTTTGGTATTAAGCAACAAGTTTTGCAGTTAGCTAAATTTTGAAAGCCATTGATAATGGACAATTTGAAGCGCTTTGACCTTTCGCAGTGCTTGTCAAACTGCGCCGAATGATCGATTGCAGCAGCGCTAATGAATGGCACATTAATTTGCATTTAAATGCAGCCAAACATATTTATTTATTTTTCATTTTCCAGTTTGTCATTGAATAATGAGACAAGCAGCTTGTTTTTCTACCAAAAAATGTTAAATGTTATTTTTTTTTTTGTGCTTGGCCAGGAAACATAAATTACAAACGCGACAAAATAGATTGCTTTAGAGCTGCTGCAGCAGCGGCAGCAGCACCTCTCGAAATATGAGAAAAACATTTTGTAAATGTCACATTCACATGCTGAAAACCATGTGCCAAATATCTGGCGCGCCCCCAATCAAAAAATTATTATTAATATTTATACATTTTCACATTTTTTTCTTCTTTTTCGAATGTTTTTGTGTTGGCGGCATTTTCAAATTTCAAATTTTCCTGTTGACAGTTTGATTTTTCCACTTTATGCGTGCAAATATTATGCCCATTTATTACAGCTGAAGAATATGAAATTGAAAATTGATTTTGCAAGTGTTTCGTTAGTTTTTTGTTGTTGTTGAATGTTTGCTTTTATAGCACTTAAAGCTGAAATCGTTAAATTCGTTTAGATTTATGCTGATGGGGCGGCACGTTCATTTAAGTGTTAATTGTGAGACGTGGCGCAGCCTCTTATCGATTGTCAGAAATCAACAAGTTACAGCTATAAAATATGGCGTGAATAATTTTGTTGTAAACAATTTTGATGGATTTGTGCCTAATGAAATATTTATTAAGGATATTGTGTTATTTCTACTGTGGAAGATTTTATAACTTAAGCTATTTAACTAATTTGGGTTTTCAAAATATTAAATTAGTATAAATTTAAAATTTTTAATCAAAATAATGTTGGGGACAGAAAAATTTAAGCAGCATCTAGATAAAAATTAAAAAGTGGCAAATAAATAAAAGATATTTTAGAAAAATTGTAATAATGAAATTTATAATATATATTATTTATTATTATTATATTATAGTCATCACTATAATATATAATATATTATTTTATTTATTAAGTTTTTCTCACATATATTATATTTAATATTTTTGTAATTTTTATTGTGAATTACCCAAATGTATCCTTAAAAAGTTATTTCAAATTAAAGTTATTTCAAATTAAAGACAATTTAGTTACACTATATTTATATATATATTATCTCGATATTAAATTATTTATAAAATATATGTATTTATTTAATTCGATATTTCAAAATTTCGTATTTTCTACTTTTACAGATTGTCAATGCAGTCCGGTGGGTTCTTTGTCAACAGCCTGTGACAAGCGCTCCGGGCAATGCTCCTGCCTGTTGAACGTAGCTGGCCGTCGCTGCGACAAGTGCAAGGCGGGACACTGGAACCTGACGCAGGGCGTCGGCTGTCACGACTGCCAATGCGATCCGCACGGTGCTCGCGGACACGAATGCAATCCGTGGACGGGCCAATGTGATTGCAAAATAGGCGTTGGAGGCAGGCATTGCAATGAATGCACCGAAGGCTTCTATGGCTTTAGCACGGATGGCTGTCAAAGGTGTGCAGCATGTGCAGCAGAGGGCCAGGTCTGTGATCCGCTCAATGGCCGCTGTATATGCCCCAAGTATACGCGAGGCTTGGGCTGCGGGCAATGTGTGCCCGGCACCTGGGGCTGGCAGGCACGTCTGGGCTGTCGCGAATGCGAATGCGATCACATCGGGTCCATTGGCCAACAATGTGCCGCAGTGGGAGGTCAATGCCAGTGCCGTGAGGGCTACACGGGACGCAATTGCAACAGCTGTGCCGTTGGCTACTTCGGCTATCCGGAGTGCCGGCGCTGCGGCTGCGATGCAGCTGGTTCCTTTACACGGGCAGACGGACTCATTGCTTGTGACTCGAACGGTCAATGCCAGTGCAAATCACTCGTGGTGGGCCTCAAGTGCGATACCTGCATGCAGAGCACATTTGGCTTATCTGCACTCAATCCCGAGGGCTGCACTCGCTGCTTCTGCTTCGGACGCGCCGCCGAGTGCGAGCAGAGTCCACTTTCCTGGGGCCACATACGCATGCCGGAGGCTCGAAATCTCAGCGTCCAACAACTACGCCCACAACACGTGCCCAACGGAGACTTTGAGTACATTGTGGTGGTGCAAATGGCGGGCAGCGTCTCCTATCGCGAGGATGCGGAAATACAGCGAATGAATGATTTGAGTCTAGTGCCACGCTCCACAGGCAACGTATCCATTGGAGCCTATGCCCAATTCTATCAGCCGCTCTACTTCCAGCTGCCACCACAGTTCTATGGCGATCGCACCACCAGCTATGGTGGCTATCTCTACTTTTCGCTTGTCACCGATGGCGCACAGATGCCGCTCGAAAGGAAGATATTGTCACAGTATCCGCTCGTTCAGCTGCACGCGCACTCGAAGCTCGTTTTGGACTTTTACGAGCACGAGGAATTCGAGTATTCGCTAAATGTGACACATCGCGTGCCCCTGCACGAATCCTATTGGAAGTATCATCAGAACAACCAGGTGGTGGATCGAGGCACATTGATGGCAGCGCTGCAGAATGTGAGGCATATATTTCTGCGCGCCTTCGCCTTTGCAGATTTTCAGCAAGTTATGTAAGGCACATTTTGTTTAGATTAATTTTGAATTGTGCTACATATATATTCCTTTTATAGCTTGCACAGCGTTCACATGGATGCTGCGATTTATGTGCAGGGCTCCACTAATCTGCTGGCCAAGGGAGTGGAGCAGTGCAAGTGCCCAAAACGTTTCGATGGGCTGTCCTGCCAGGATCCGGGCCGCTCCTTTTACCGTTGGCGCAACACCAGCGACGTGGAAAGCGTTTTTATCGAAGATTTGATTGGACGTGCTGCACCGTGTCATTGCAATGGACGCAGCAGTGATTGCGATCGCGAAACCGGCGTTTGCTTGGTAAGAAACTCACACTAACACTTCAATTACATTAATATGTTGCTCGCGGCGCCATTTGTTTTCACTGAACTGCCGCCATTTTTGAATAAGTTCTTTGTTATGCTGTGAGCTTGTTCATTGGAACTGATTTGTGATCCTTTTAAAATTGGTATGCAGCTCACTTGTTCATTGGAACTGAATTGTGATCATTTTGGAATGGGTATGCAGCTCACTTGTCCAATAAGCATGATTAAGTAACTAAACGCAAATTAAGTTTTAGACGCTGATATGCAATTAGAATATGCCAAAGTTATAGATACATTTTTGAAAATTTGCTTTGGGGTAGTTTTGGTCAGAGTTTAGCTTTGCTAACATTATCAAGAAACTGCATAATAGGCTACAGCAGCAAGTGCAATTGAACTACTGCACAATTTGACAATTATGCAACACTGGAACTTACAGAGTGCGAATTCTTTTGCAGAATTGTCGTGATAATAGTGGCGGTGCGCATTGCCAGCACTGCGCCGACGGCTACTATGGAGATCCAAATTCGCGACACGGCTGCCAGGCTTGCCCCTGTCCGGAGACGAATCGCAATTTTGCACGCGGTTGCAACGTGCGAGAGGGTGAAGTGAGCTGTGTGTGCAAGCCCGGCTACACGGGCCGCCTATGCGAGCACTGTCACGCGGGCTATTTTGGCAATCCGATGCAATATCCGAATAGCAGTTGCCAGGCGTGCAACTGCCATGTGGATGGCATACGCGCCGAGGGCTGTGATGCACAGACGGGACAGTGTTACTGCCGTGAAGGTGTTACAGGCCTCAAATGTGACAAATGTGTGGCTCAGCGACATCATTTGGAAGAGCACGGCTGCAAGGGTGAGTATACGTATTAAATGTCCTATGAAAACTGTATAAACTTTATACGCTCTTCTCCTTTCCAGTTTGCGACAACTGCACGTTGCTGCTGCTGGACTATGTGGAGCTGGTGGGTCACAAGCTGCGCCGCGGACTGCACAACATGGATTTGACTGGCATTCCGGCACCTTATCTCAAGTTAAGTGAATACGAGCACGCCTACAGGCATTGGCGTGCACGCCAGCAGGATGTAAGCCAAGCCAGGCAGCTGCTATTGGGCTACGATATGGGCGGTCTGCTCAAAATGGATGCACATGCGGAAAATAACAAATTTCAGTCCAGGAAAGCTTTGGCCACTATTGGCAAACGGCAGCATGCCCTGCAGTCCATGCAGGAAACAGCTTTGGTGCTGCATCAGGATGTGCGCAACTTACGTGGCGAACAAATGCAAACGTTGCAGGATTTGCGCAATTATGGAACGGCTGCCCATCATCTCAGTCTACCCACGGCGCTGAAACAGGCGCATTTCTATCTGCAGGCCATTCAGCAGCATCATCAGCTGGTGCAAGATATACGCAGCTCCAGCGATTGTGCCTGGCAGCTGTTCTATACGACAGGCAATGCTTCCGATGCGGCTTACGATCAACGAGCGAGCCTCGAGATGCTCTGGCGTGATTTGAATCAAACCAATTATCGTGTGGCAGATATGCGACTGCACCTCGATAGAACTCAAGATGTAGAGAGCGAAGCGGACGACGTGCTCGAACATGTGCGCAATCTAAGCGGCCATGTAGCCGAGCAGTATCAGCAGTTGAACGAACTGGACCAACACATACAGCAGCAGTTGAATCAGAGTCAAGTTGAGCAGGGCCACAGGAATCTTGAAACAGCCGCTGAGCATCAGCTGCAACTTAATGAGCAGCGACGACAGCTGGCTGCTGCAGCTGCTCAGCTGAATGATACGCTCTTGTTTGAGTTGGAGTTGCAGCGCGAGGTGCGCAAGCATTGGCTGCCCAAGGCAGAGAAGCATGCAACACGCCTGCTCGAACGCTCCAATGAATATGCCAAACAGTTTCAACCGACGCGCAATGCAGCACGCATTGCCATGTTGGCCAGGTAAACAGTGCTTTCCTAACTAAGCAAGACCTTTACTCACCCTCGCTCTCTATTCACAGCTCTGCACACAGCAACATTTCTTTAGCCATTGCAGCAGCGCAGCAAGCATCGCTGCTGGCCAAGGAGCGCGTGTATGAGGCACAACACACACTGTATCCCAGCGATGGCAGCTCCATGATAGAACGTGCCAAGCACTCGCTGCAGCGTTCCAAGCAGCTGCAACGTGAGGCACTGCAGCAAATGCAAAAGTCCACAATACTCAAAGGCAAGCTGCAGTATCAGGAGCAGCAAGTGGAAGGCATTAAACGCACCATCTTTCAGACAGGACAGCGAAGCAATAATATCACAAGCCAATTGCAGCTGCTCACGAACAGTTCGGCTCGGCGTAATGCCCAGGAGAGCATGAAAGTGGCACAGCATACTAGCGACGAGATGCGCCAAGAGTTGCGGAAAGCGAAAGAGCTGCAACAATCCATACAGCAAATGCGCACATCGTTTGCCATGCTCGAGCCGGACTGGGAAATCAAGCTGGGCATGGCTGAGGAGAATATTTCGCTGACGAAAACGAATTTGCGATTGGCCAATGTTTCGCTTAGCTATATCGAGCAGCAGGCGGTCAAGGAGCAGCAGACCTTTGAACAGTGGAACAATAGCGTGGCCAGTCAGCTGCAGCAGCTGAGAGATCAAATAGCCAAGGCTAGGCATGCAGCAGAAGCGGTAAGTCGACTATCACCACATGCTCTCCTTTAACACGTTATAAATATCTATTTCTACTGCCAGATTGACGTCTCGCTGGAGTCGCTGGGACCCAAGTGCAGTCGCAGCTTTTTGCCCGTTTCCTATGGCCTGAGCACGTCCAATTCTTTACGTCTAAGCTTCGGTCTTTCGAATCACATGGGCAATTCTCCGCTATTGCATGTGCAGGGCAGCGAGGGTCGACACATCACATTGGAATTGCACAAGAGACATGTGCGTCTGATTTGGTATTTGGGCGGCAGCACAACGACCATAACGCATCCGCTCGAGGTGCAGACGCGTGATCCCAAATACGATGATGCTTGGTATCAAGTGGAAGCGAATCGTACATTGAATTTGGGCAGCCTGCTGGTGCGTCGCATGAACAACTTTGGGGCACTGATGCCGGGTTCCCCAGTCACGGGCTCCACAGATGCGGAGCACACGCGTTTCTATCAGACGCACGACGAACGCATTTTACTGGGCGGCCAAGCTTCCAAAGAGCAAACACCAGGTCTTAATGTCGTTGTACATCAGGTGGAGGTGGACAATAAACCACTGGGCATATGGAACTTTATAAGCAGCGAAGGACGCTGTGGTGGTGCCATGATTGGCGCAAGGGAATCGTCTGCCTCCTCTGTGGCCCGGCACTTCAATGGCCTGGGCTATGCGCAGCTAAAGAAGACACGACCGCGCCCCTATCGCAAGAATCTATTTGCGCTGCAGATGACTTTCCGCACGCTGGACGAGAATGCTTTGCTCTTCCTGGCGGTTGATGACAAAAATGTGAGTTTGTAAGCTTTCATCTATGAGCTTTTAATTAATTCATCTCTCTTCGTAGAACCGCTCCGTCTCGGTCACATTGAGTCGCGGTCGCATCATGTTCCGCATCGACTATGGCGACGAGTCCAAGCTGGAGATTAACACCACCAAAAAGTATAACACTGGCCAGTGGATCAAAATCGAGGCGGCACGAGAGTTCTCCACACGACGCAGCACCGAAAATGGAATGCTGCGCGTAAACAATGATCGCCCCATCTCCGGCGCACCCACATTGCCCGTGAAGAGTCACATGCTGCCGGACTTGTCCAAGGCGGTTTATTATCTGGGAGGCGTGCCACCAGGTAAACAATATGATGATTAGACTATGCCTCTCATTTGATATATACTCACACACATTTGCTTTCGTTTCAACAGGCTTTACTTCGGGCACCACTAAAGCGCCCGGCGCAGACAATCCTTTCCTTGGCTGCATGATGGATGTGCAGGTCAATGGCGAGACTTACGATCCGCTCGAGAGCTCTACCTACTTTGGCGTGGAGCCTTCCTGCAAGGACATGATTACAAAGTGAGTGCGCACATATATATTAGCTATATAAACATACCAAATTGTTTTGCTGTTTCACAGAGCTGGCTTTTCGGGCAATGGGTACTTGGAGCTGCCTTCGCAGTCACTGCGCAAAAGGGCCCATGCGGCTATAGTTTTCCGCACACTTCAAGCTGATTGTTTGCTGCTGCTGGCCGCCTATCCACCTGAAGTGCTGGCTGACTATGATGCAAAGGATATTAAGGGCAACTATTCGATGAGTCTGGTTGACGGACAGCTGCAGGTGTGGATCAATTCAGGGCGCAGTTTCATCAAAATGTTCTCCAACGATAGTCATCTCAATGACGGCGAGCTGCATGTCATCAATCTAATTAAGACTGGACGACGCTTGGAGCTGATGGTGGACGATGAACTGCAGGAGGTGCGCACACTGACGGGCACGCCCTCATTCATCAGCCTGCCACAGGATGCGGGAGGTCTCTACATAGGCGGTGCACCACCCCACGAAATGTACACACCTCTAGCGCCAACCTTTGTGAAGCTGGAGGGTGCTGTACGGGACGTTGTGTTCAATAATCGTACGATTAATTTTAATGATGCCTTGACCTTTGTCAATGTCCAAATTGGCCGCAATGGTCCGGTCATGGGCAGTCCCAAGGGCGCACTCTACGATGTGCTGCTCAAGACGGAGCCGATGATTGGGAAGAGTTTCACCGCCTCGCCGGAGGGCTGCAAGCGGGTAAGTTCTTAATAGAATTTCTCTGGTATTTTGCGGTTTATAAGACTTGGGGGTTTGGGTATTCAATGGAATTCTTGCATGCATAAATGATATGTATATATATAGAGATTGTGGCTACCTAACTCTCAACATTCTGATCGACTTAAATGTTTCTTTTTGTTTTTATAGGATTTTAGTTGCTAAGCAATTATGTCACAAAAGCTGCTACGCAAAAAGCTTCAAGCGCTGCGCTGCAAGAAAAGCTCTTTTGTATACTAATTTCGCCTAAACAAAAACAATAAATAAAACAGCTTACTAAACATAGCTACTCAATGTGGTCTACATGTGGATTAATCATACAAAATCATCAAAATATAACCTCAGACTTAACCAAAAGTTGCCATACGCTCAAGCTTTTAAGCTTTGTCGGCATATAAGCTAGTTTACAGAGTCAAAGTTCAAAAAGCTCTTGTAAGCCTGCTTAATTAGATGTAAGAACTAAGTGGAAGTTGGTTTACACAGAGCAAAAGCTTAATAAAAAAGCACCTTATAGAAGTTTTTAATTTCCTTCTAAGTTCATTAAAGCTTTCGTAAGCCAGATTGATTTGCAATACTATATTAAAGCTTTCAATTTCATAAAAAAGTTGCTTGTAAAGCCCTTGTAAGCCAGCTTAGTTATATTTAAGAAGTAAATTTTAAGTTTCTAAAAGCTCTGGGTCACATTTGGATGTTAATTACTCTTGAGAACAACATACTTATTATGTAAATATTTCATATTTTCATATCACATCTTTTGTATATTATAAGCTCAAATATAGTCTATAAGCGACAAGCTATCAATACATATTTATATATATATAAATAACATATATAAACATCACATATTTACATACATTTTCACTCATCAACGCTTTGTGTACGTTTTTGCTTTCATTGATGTATCATACGAATAACTTTTTGCCTTCTTCAACTTGTTATCACATTTTTAAATAAAAGCGAACGAACATTTTTTAACAAAAGAAAAAACAAGCAAAAATCATGCCAATTATTTTATTTTTTAACCTCACGCTGTGAAAGCTCGCTCACAAAAGCTCAGAACTAACACAAAGTCGTCGCGGTGAGTTAAGTTCCCATTCGATTAAATCAAAAGCTTCGATTAATGCGCTTCATTTGCTTACAGATCGGCAGCTACTCCTACGAACCGAATGCCTTCAAGTTCGGCGACGAGCTCTATAGCTATTCGCAGCTAAAGCTGCCCGAACGTCATTTCTGGCAGCGCAACTTTCAACTGAGCTTCGAGTTTCGTTCCTTCTATCCCAATGGCATGCTCTATTTGTCGCCGGGCAGCAAGGAGAAGCACAAGCATTATGTCACCCTGCTGCTTAAGGATGGCCAGCTGGTTCTGATAGTGCGTGGTCGACGGCGCGAGGAGCTGCTGCTGACCGCGAAGCTAAACGATGGCGAATGGCATCGGGTTACGGTCAGCTGCCACGATCGCAAAGTTACGCTGAGCGTAGAGATCGGACGCACAGACCAAAAGACTTCGGCTCAAATGAAGGTGCCCAAGAAAATAGGCGCCTCACAGCTCATGCTGGTGGGTGGCCTGCCCCAGGCACCGGTCAAGGTGCCCTCGGAGCTGTACATGCGTCTGGAGCCATTCAAAGGCTGTTTGCGTCGATTTAGCATCAACAATAGCACACAGGATCTGGCACGGCCGGGCAAGCATGCAAATGTGGGCCAATGTTTTCCGAAGGTTGAGCGAGGAAGCTACTTTCCAGGCGATGCCTATGCCATATACAGTAAGTGTTTGGAACGTATATAATGTAGAGGGAATTGATTGATGAGGTTGTCTCAACTATATATAGTTTGACATGCATGATATATAGAGATCATATATTCACGAAAAATAAGTTTGTCTTTAGAAGACATCTTCAGTATCTTCAGTATCTACCTATGCCATCAAGTTGTCTCATACAGCTTCTCTAAGCTCCCTTTTCTATATTTTTATATCCCTTCTAACCTTAAATTTTTTCCGCTTGCAGAGAGAAACTTTCACGTGGCGAAATATTTGGAACTGGAACTGGAATTTCGCACCTCTGAGCTATCCGGCATATTGCTAAGCGTATCCGAACCCAACAACTTCCCGTCACTCTCCCTGGAGCTGAGCAATGGCAATGTGAGTTTTGATAAACTTACGAAATCGTTCGGTTATATAAGAAAACATTTTGATTTTGTTACAGATCGTTTTCTCTTGTGATCTGGGCGATGGTGTGCCCTTCCGCGTGGAGTCTAAGCTGCCGGGCAAATATGCGCTCTGCGACAACAAATGGCACAATATCTCCGCACTCTATGATGGTGAACAGATTGCACTGAGAATCGATCAGCTGCCCGCCACGATTAACATGTCGAACCAACGCAATGCGGGCAAAGTGCAAACACGTTCGCCGCTCTACATAGGCGGACTGCCAGGTGAATTGACTGTGATTTCTATATATATATATAAATTGCTTAAACTTTGATATATCTTTCAGATATTGCGCCTAGTGGCTGTTTGTTGGCTCGCGACAACTTCAAGGGCTGCATACGTAATGTGTCCATACGCAATGAGAGACGCGATTGGATCGATATGGATGATCTGCACAATGTGCTGCTCAGCGAGTGTCTTGTCTCCAGCGATGATTAACTATATCTATAGCTAAATATTTATAGATCGCGGAACATTTTCTGGTTCCTGTTGTTGATGCCACACCAAAACTTTTTCCAAATGCATTGTGATCAAATATGAGTTTTAGCTCTTAAGCCATAGAGTTAGACAACGTCCAGTTCATAGCATATCACTGCCATATAAGTAATATTTACCTAGCTATACGTTTAGCCAGTGACTGCATTTCATATACTATATACATGTATTCCCTACACAAATACTTAATTTATTTAACTTTTAATTTATTTTGTTTTTTATTTTAAAGAGGCTTTAAGTTTGCGCATCGATTTTATTTGAATTTTATTTGAACTATTCACTTTATGAATCTCCCATTTGTACAGAAATTATTCATATACATTAATATTTATATACATACTTCTCTAATAACTATTTAGTATACTTCATACATTAAATATATATTCATTTGTACATAACACATATTGAGGTTAAGATTTTTATAATTAAATTAACTTTATGCTTCAATGTTCTAAAATAAAATGTATTTAAAAGCAAACTTTTTTTAATAAAAATATATTTATTTATTGTGTAGACTCTTTATATATGAAATTGTCTATGTATTTTTTAGAATATATTTTGGTTATGTCTGCGATTCCATTATAGATTATAGAATTTATTGTAAAAACCTATTAAAATTTTTAAATCAAATTATAGATTTTTGATTTTCACCAACAGATTGATTTGATCTTTGGACTATGTCCTTATAGAAAGAGTGGTTCAACTGCCTTCACAAGTTTCATAAACATATTACCCCAAAGTCTTGATTTAGCAACTTAGAATTAAGATTAGCTCGAAAATTTCGCTTTTCGAAGATTGTAGATAAATGGGTTATACCAACTTCCCCTGAATATGAGCTATTTATAATAAATACCAACTATCAAATAGATTCCAAATAGACCCTCCCTTCTAACATGCCTATTCCATCGCTATAGAACCTTGCCCTTGACTCAGACCTTACCGCCCTTGTGATTAATTTTCGAATTCATAAAAAATATAAATATCTTAAGTAAATATTCTTCGGAAATTACAGTTCTTAAGTTTAATAACTAATTTGTTAAACATATATAATAACTAATATATATTCAATGTCAATTGAATTTGCTTTATCCTTCAGAAACAAGCGCATATTTACTGTTTTTATATATCTGAAACACGTGATACATTCGAGAAAAAAATAACTAACCATCATGAGTATATTGAGTACCCGAAGAACGGAACAGAGCGGTCGCCGTAGTACTCGAAAATCTGTAGCTGCCACAACATCGCGGACCTACGAAATTTACTGCGTCAATTTCTATGACAACGGTTTGCGTGCGGTGCGAAATGAATATATCAATCAGATCAAGCTTGGGCTGCGACAATTTCTGTTTGTCATCGATCTGGATACTGAATTGGAGAACAATCGCTTGGCCAACCGGAAAAAGATTCGCACCAGTGGCAAGTCAAGGCAATCAGGTGAGCGGAGCTGTAATTGAATTGCCTGCCAATTGCGTATGCATTTTGGATGTTTACCATTAGATTTTTTGCCCACCGATCCCATGACCCATACGATGATACGTATTCAGAATTGCCTGAGTGAATATGATTTTATAACCCGAAAGATTGAATCGGAGCTGAGCTTCAATATGCTCAAGTACTATCAGAAGAATATGCCTGCTCAGCTAAAGATAATTGGGAAAAAAGATGCGGCAGGCGATACGAAACGTCCTGCCAAGCACAAGGACACCGATACCATTTCAGTGGCCAAAATAGCGTGCTTTAGTGTCACAGCCAAAGAACACCACAAAGTGGGCAAGGGTAAGCCGCTATCGAAGCGTCAGGTAAGGTGGAAACGTGGATTTCTCTCTTCGTTAAGCTCATGTTAGAAACCCAATTTCAGTACATCAAAGATGCTCCGCTTAATACGACAATACTCATTGTCATCGTTGGTTCTATGAAAAACGAATTCTACAGGACTCTGCTCAAGTAAGTTGACTGACTACGTTTCGTCTTGAGAGTTGTTGACTTAGCCTAACCAAGTTTGAACGGAACTTTTATCTTGGTGATTTGAAACAATGTCTTGATTTGGTTTTAGGGTTTAAAGGTGTTTAAAGAACTAGAGTTCGGTTGGTAGCGGAAAAGTAGTCGGGAGTTACAGGAAGACCAAGATTTTGATTTGCTCTTTCGTTTGTCCGACGTTCGATATCCATGTTTCCTTGGCCTAAAAGCAGTTACTCTCAATTTTAGTGAATTTCCTTTATTCAATTTTCGATAAACTCATAGAGCCTAACATGAAATGATCTCTTATATAACTCAAATCATTTTATCACCTTCAGTTTAAATCAACCGTTGCGTGGAGTTGTGCACTTTTTACCCAAGGAGAGTACCTATGACTTGCTGGTGCCACGTCCACGCCTCGAGAAACAACGACGTGATGACCTCGCGGCTATTCAGGCCGATATCTATGGGCTACGCAAACGGGTGAAGAGCAAGCCCGTAGGCATCGTACAGCAGCAGTTGCCGCAGATGTCCATGTGCCAGGCGACTAGGTATTCGTCGAGTATTTTTGATCAGCTCACTTGGTTTCTGTACGATATGCAAATGTTGCGGCAACAATATGAGGAATACTATGTGAAACCATATTGCGAGATCAATGTCAAGATGAGCCCGAGCGCCAACATGCTGGAAAGCTTTCAAATGGTCGAGTCGCTGAGCATCCAGGGGCACTATCTAAAGTCCGAGATGCCGGCTGTGCACGATGATGATGCATCGATCTATTTATACGTGGAATCATTGATGTGCACATTCGGCAATCCGCGAGATTTGATGACCGAAATGGAGGTCCTGATGCTAGCGAGTCCCTCATCCACTTTATATACCAAAACGCTGGAGAAAATCAAAACCTATGCAAATGCCTTCAAGAGCATTATTAAGCTGTTAAAAAGCGAACGTCTGTTTGTGGAGCAGGCAAATACGCTGCTCGTGAACATAGTCTCCTATATGAATCAGGAGCACATGCGAAATATCTACCATGCGTGCCTGGAATACAATGTGCTGCGACGCTATTTCAGCACGGGCTATATCACAGAGAAGTTGTACTATACGCCATATGTCGCCGATAGGGATCCCATGAATTTGCCCAAATTTGCCAAGCTATATTTGACCGACGATTCAGTTTCTCAACGCATTATACAATTGATCAATGAGTATGAGAACTATAACATCGAGGAGATTTATCCGAATATAAAGCTCTTTACGTTTAAGCGAGCCCTGAACGAAGTCTTCGAGCACGAGAAGCAATTGGTTATACCGACACGTCTTTGTTTTCGCGACTTTACGCTCTATGAGATGGAAGATTTCCTCAAGGATTTGGTCACACCGCAGATGTTTGAAACAGCGATCGAGGTGAAAGTAGATCCGTTGTCCGATTACCCCAGTAACTTCACCCTGGACACTGGCAGTGAATTGGAAGAAAATGGTTCCACTTCGTTTAGTTGTCCACCACGGAAACGTTATAGCATAATTCAGCCGAACGTGTTCATTCGCCCCAAATCGCTGAAGGCCCAAAAAGTGGTTCAGAAAAGAAAGGATGTGGACAGCAAAGACACCGACAAGTCGCCACGAACATCCCGATTTCGGAGCAAGGAAAGTTTTCGTATATCGAGCAAATCAATACGTGCTTCCACTTTGCGAAATAGTCTCTTTCACAAAGAATCCCCCAATCCGGAATTATTAAGCCATAGGCCAACTTTTATTGGCCTGGGACCGGATCATCCGATGCTCAAGGGTTACAATTTGGATGATGCGCGACAAACGATCAATGCGAAAACCTCCAAATATTACTTTGAAGAGGGTCTAATATCACTCTATGAAGAGAAATGGAACTTTCGGCAGATGAACAAATGTCTGTCCATTGAGATAGACAAGCAAATATTGCATCTTAACAACGAACCGGGCAAAATTGACAGTGTTTCGCCAAATATACGTTTACAAACACCAAATGGCATTGCCCTGCGATTGAATGCCAGAAGTACTGAATGCGCCAAGGCGGTGCTTAACTATCCAAATGGCTTAACCCTCTACTACCACGATACCCATGTCGAGAATTTGTGGTCAGGTCAGCAGAGTACGCTGAACGAAAGTCGGCGCGTTAATACACCCTACGGCTGTGTTATCGTTTACTTTAACAACAGTGATATGGTGCAGATAATGCGCTATAACGGCGAGGTCTATCGATTATATAGCACTCCGGATGTGCCGGAAGAGGAGGAGGGCGGAATGGAAGATGATCCGAGCTTTATAAATGCCTGCTCCACACAATCCACGTACAGCAGCTACAAGCCATTGAACAAGTGTGAGGTGAAAAAATTTCGTACTCGCAAGCGAACATCTTTAACGAATCGCACTCAAGGTGGATCCGATGTGCTTTTCAAGGGACAACGTTCACAGGACAGTTCCACCTCATCCGAAACGCTAGCCGCACGCGCCGCCAAACTGGAGGCTCGACAACTGAAATTAAACCAGTCGGCAGCTTTGTTTGCCAGCATTGATGCAGAGATTAAGTATTTGGAATTGATTATGAGTCTATTCAATTTGACATTTGTACATCTGAAGCTAACCACGTCGCTGGGCAGCGTGGTGCATGTGCAGGGCCATGAGATACGGTGCGGCAAGCCGATTAGGGTTACGGAATGGCATGATTATTTTGTCAACGAGAGTTATGCGATGCGAGACGATGGCGTGCGCATGGTCTGGACACATGATTCGCTGCGTTGCTATCATAACGATGGCACCTTGATAACCACCAAAACATCGATTGAATGGGATCGGGGCATTGTTGAAGATGAAATTGATAAGCAAATCAGCTCAAGCAGCTCACATATGAGGAAAACAATTCCTATCGATGAGGATACTGATGATATGGTAAAACTAAATATAAATTTAAGTCAGCGTAAAAAGTTTTTACTTAAAAAGAAATTGCTTGATTCAACGAGACTCGATCTCGAACCCGAGATTTCATAAATGAAAATAGTTTCGTGTGGCGTCTCATCCTACACCACCCCTCCTACAGGCATATAACAGAAATACAATTCAACTGCGATTCTATTTATAGAATTACAAAAAGAATGCACACATTTCAATGCATGAGTGGACTTGCACAGGCGCTTTGAATGTATGTGTGTCCATGCATGTGTGCAGATATATAAGCAAAGTATAGCATTTGAAAGTATGTGTGCCTATGCATGTTCAACTGAATGTGTGAAAGATGTATAAGCATAGATATTTGAATGTATGCGTGCGCTCGTCATCGCGCTTGAATTGCGTAACTTTGCTTAGCTGTTTGAATGCATGTGTGAAGATGTATAGGCTAAAGCATTTGAAAGTATGTGTGCGTGTGCATAACCAATTGAATTTATGAAAGCACATGGACAGGCATTCGAATGTATGTGAGCACATGTGATTTTTGAATGCATGTGTCGCAAGCAAAAGCATATGTACGCATGTGTGCCGATGTATAGGCTAAATTATTTGAATGTATGTGTGCACATGCATAGACGTTTGAATGTATGTGTGTTTATTTTTTCTCTGGGATCCAATGGCCGCTTGGGTTTCCTTTAATAAGCTCTATATTGCTTAACGGACTTCAATTAAATTTACAGGAAACTATACTAAAATAAAACAACATGAAATGTGTGGAATATTGAAATTTCGAACATTTTTAATATGTTGCTATATTTGCAACTGAATTAAAATTTATAACGATTTCATAGAAGCGGTTAAGATAATCGATTACTTAAGTCAAACTTGATCGGCGTGTGCTATAGGGAAAACCTTCACACATACGGACGAAAGAATACAGCGAGATCTTCAAATACCTTCAGCTGGACTATGTTCTAAATCGATTTTATATTTATCGATCATTGTTTATCGGCGTGTGGTATAGGGCAGCCACGTTCTTATACACGGAAAGATCAATAAACGAACGGACAGATTTAGATTTTTATCCTGATTATAATAGAGCTTGGCCACGTTCCTTCTTCTCTCTGTAAACCACATTTTAACGCATCCATTCCGAAGACAGTCAACTCAAACTTAATGTAGATATATTCCACAGGGCTCCATCTATGTAAATGTATCAAAGCTGGGCAGTGGGTATGTCGATGAAACAAATAACCGAGAGAGAGAACTCGCATCTACTCCAGCAGAAAGTCATACAGATGAAATGGACTTCGTACAGGAACTTGAGCCTGAGGGCGGTTATGCATATGATTATAGCTTCGTAATTTACCAACCAGATGAATATTTTATAGAGCATAAGTATTATCCCGGCACCAAATTCAATTTTGAGCATATCACCAAGATGGATCTGAAGCTGGAAACGAGCATTTTTTCCGCTGATGACTTGCATTTCCGTATCTATCATCTGGAGCAGGACTTAATAGGTGATACTATGAATGATATCGAAGAGGAAACCATTTGCGATGACACATCATCCGAACCGGATGCCGATGAATGGACCAAATATATCGGTGGAAAAAGAACAATGAAATTTGCATATCAAAGCGTCGCCGTATCCGTCTATACGCCAAATATGCAGTTGGAGATTTTATTGAATCGAATAGAGCTTACGGCAAATCTGCGCAGATTTGGCTGCGATGTAAATGTGGAGATTGTGCGGTAAGTTGACCCCAGGGCTCCAAAATGAGCGTGTGTCTGTAATGACTTAAACGCCACCAAGAATTGATTGCTTTTATTTTGGTAAAATTTCGCTGTAGACAAATTGCATCATCTTTAGGCATTGATTCAACTTCAGCTTAATGAATTGAATTGAGAATCTCATTTAAATATGGGACACTAGTTCAAATCCTGGATTAGAAATCTTTCATTTCATATGTATCTTATTACCATTTGATAAAATGGAGTTCGAAAAGAAATGCAAAATTCAGTTTAATAAGCTAAAATTAAAGCTTCAATCACATATTTAAAAAAAATATTTTTTTATTAAATTTTGTTAATGACAAAAGTAATTCGATCTGGAAAGAAGTATGGAAAGCCAGCATGGGTTCGAATCCCGCTTCATTGAATTTGCATAGTTTTTTCTTAGTTCATTACAATTTATTTAAAAGCAAGACGTAAAGTCAAATCGAAATGCAAGCGAATATTAAAGTATTTATGAGAGTCAAGAGTTCCACTTCAGGGCTTAAACTCGATAGTCGATACGCAATTGGAAACATTTTTAAAACGCACAAATTTTGCTATGAAATTTCAAATCACTTCTTAGTCTCCATCAAACCTTATCTCTATTCTCAACAGCGAAGCGATTCATCTAACCGTGGACATGCAAAAGAGTCTCACGATCGCCTTTCAGCGTTGGATCGAAGATTTTCACACGTTTATCAGATGCGCCTGTCCCAAATGGCGCACCATTTACTTTGTGGAGGCCATTCAGGGTGATTGCCGCAAGAAGGGTAAGAAATGCTCTACAGGAATCTCTAACTTTGATGATAGAACCAAATAATCGATTCTTATCGATAAAGACATAAATGAGTTAGAGAAAAATGATAAGCGGTTAAATTACATATCAATGACAATTAACATACATAATTCATTCATATTCGTACAGGTCTGGAGCTAATGAAATCTGTGCCGCCATTGGGTAAATATAATTTTTGTGCGGGCAATTTCTTTATTGATCCCACGGAGCTGACATCGGTGGCTAAAAAAATGCGAAGCACGCTGAAATGGTACCAAGAGGATATGTTGAAGTTTCCACGTTTTCCAGTTCACAAGAATAAGCCAAAAATAATCAAATTTGCTACTGTGCTGAGCACCCAGTAAGAGCCTTTTCCCAAAGTCCAAATATTATGCTAACATCCTAATTGTCGATCAGAATCTTTCTGGAAATACCCGCCCAGCTGGCCTACACAGATCGCATACACCAGTTCCTCGATCCATTTGATAAGATCAAGTTTCGAAAGCTCAAGCATCGATTCAGCGAGTAAGTGGGCCCTGGGCTGAGCGACTTTTTTATCTTTGTGGCAATCTCTAATGCGGTCTTTATAGTGCGCTCATCTTTCATTTGCATCCTATTCTACGGAGTCTCGTTCACAAGGAGATGAGCAATCGCAGTTGGCGCAATCATATACTAGAGAAGAAGCGGCGTTTGTTCCAGGAGCAGCAGCGTCTCAGTCTCTATGTGGCCATGCTTCGGCATAAGGTATACCCGAATTACTTTCAGTTCAGGGATAACTATCATTATCATGTGCGTAATATTGATTTCTTCGAGTTCATGGCCTTAAAATGTAGCGAGAAATCGCCTCCTGAACGCGTCGAAGAGAACCAAACAGAAGCTAAGCCAGCAGATGCGGACTTAGTGTCCACAAGCAAGGGTTCTCCCTCATCCAAATCTAAACGCAAAAAGTGTTTGTGTCCCAAATACTTGAAATCTTTGAATTAGAAAACAATTTGTGTTTAGCTGAGCATCGGTAGTGTAATAAATAAATGGATATTAAAACACGGAAGAGCAAATTTAAATTATTTAAAACAATTGTAAAATGCGCGCCGAACTTTTTTAAAAATTCAAACTTCCCGCACTTTTTGTACACATGGTCACACTTGTGATGCTGCTAGCTGTGCACTGTTTATACCAGCACAAAATACAACTATCGCATACATCAGCTGTGTTTTGTTATGGTTGGCAATAGCCAAACATCGATAACACGCGCCCATAGCAATAGCTCTAACGCTACCGCTCTCCCTGCTTCAAATTCTCTCTTTACTCTCTGTGTTTTGCGCTCATTTGTAGTTAATTTGTTGCCGCGTTTGGTCGTGTTTGCTTGTTGCTGTCGCTAGTGTCGCGCGAGTGTGTAATTCTTAAATAAAAAAATAATAAAGCAAATAATATGAAGTGCACGCAATTGTATTAATTATCCCCACACACACAAAATCAACAAAAGCCAAAGCGAAACTATTCTAATCGAAACTAGTCACAAAACACACGCACAATGGCATCGCCAGTAGCAGCAGAAACAACAGAAACAACAACAGCAATGGCCAATGGTAACGCTGTAGCCGCTGGGGATTCAGCCAGCGCCGTCTATGCGGAGCAACTGCAACAGGAGAAGGAGCGTGAACATGAACTGGAACCAAATGAACTAACGGCTGTGCCGCGCTTTGGATTGAAGCTGAAGTTCGATCACGTTTGGCCAGAGAAACGGAATCAGAATTTACGGCCATCAATAAAACAATCGCTGCCGATGGTGCCGCTGGTTTGCAGGTGAGTCAACGTCGACGTCGCGGTAGCGGTCGCTGCAGATGCTGCCATGAGTGGACAGAGCTGTGTAAATAATTAATTTGAGCCTCATAATGCGAAATCAATATTAGGCCTAATATAAACGCCTACAACAACAGAGAGAGGCACCTCATTCCCGATCCATGCCCTTGCGTGCCAAATATAGCGTCAGGTCCTGGTAACGCAAACACAAATACCCATGCACACACGCACACTCACTTTCATATGTATATTCATAAATTGAATACTTTTTGTGCGCTTGGCGCCAACGAAATGATATTAATTCGCCAAAAGCAAAGCCTTCTCATTAGAGATGAGAGCTTGAAACGATTTTTGGATTAATGCTAATTACACGAAAAGCACGAAAAATAGACAAGATTAGCTGAAGAGAGGGAATATGGAGTAGGAATTAAATGAAAATAAAAGAATCTTTAATTTAATATTAAGCACTAAAGAAATATGCAAAAGATCACAATTCTAAAGAAATAAGAAAATATATGAGTATGTATATATCAATATATGCATATTGAGAACATTAATAGAAATAAAAAAAATAAATGAAAAAAATGTTTGAATATGGCAAAAAAAAATTTTAAATTATATCAACGGTAAATTTATAAAATTATTTAAGCTATATTAAAGCAATTTTGAAAAATCGTTAGTATCATAATTTATAATCTATAACATCTGAAACTGAAAGTATGCCCCAGCAATATCTAAAAATATTAAATGAAACTAGAGATCTCCTAAATCCTAAATGCAATGCCATCTCTAGCTAAAGGATAATAATAAACATTGCCTGACTTGTCTAGAACTACTATTTTCATCTCAGTTTCTTTTCTTAGTCTGCTTTTATATTCCTAAGAATTGAATGCCTGATATGCGCTGCTTCAAATTGAAAGTGTCCTTTTGATAAGGACCTTATTACCGCACTCGCTGTACATGACTAGCACAGTTGAGTTTGGCTTGTGGCATGCCCCGTTTCAGCGGCGCCACAACTCAAATGGTTGCCCTTCCCTCTCATCCTTTTGTCTGCTTCGCATTGGCGCCAACTTGGGCGCCCGTTAGCGTGTCCTGGCTACATTTATGGCAATCAAAATGGAAAGGGGGAAACAAGAGAAACCTGAATATGTGTTTGTACTTTATTTGCCTTGGCTGTTTTTTTGTGTCCTTTAACAAACAGCAAGGCACGAATGCTCAGCTGTTCCGTTTTATGAACTGCCAGCCAGGCAATCAACGGAACGCGAACTAACTGACCTATCTGAAATGTAAGCCTACCCCAAATTCTGAGCAACCCGGCCGCAGAGCCACCTAACCCAGGCAGTGCAATGAACTCGCCTTTCAAACCTGCATTTGGCATCCAAATGTGGGTCAGAGCTGCAGCTTCTTAGAAAGTTTCTAAGGGACTATGAAAGGGGAGCAAAGCATTTGACAACATCTGATAAAACTTTCTACAGTGGACGCCCATTAAGTGAGAAGTAGTTGATTTTTTTTAGTTTATCTAACATTTATTAAAATGAAAATTAATCAAATGAAAAATTAAAAAATATGACTGAAATATGAAATATGGAAGTAGAATTTTATCCTAGAATTTGTAGAATTCAAATTCAAATTTTTTATTTAAAAAAAGTGTTTTTTTTTTACCGATTTTTACTAAAATGCTTACAATATAAAAAAACTGTTTGCTGCTGCAATAGGAGTCTTATAAGAATGTTTTTTTTTTCTAAAGTATTATCAAGTATTTAAAATATTTGAATCTTATCCATTTTATAAATTTTCTATTTTTTTTTTTTTTCAAATTAAACAAAGCACATTCTACAGCTTTGGCAAAAAGACGTTCACTTGAGTTTTATATAAAATGTTTTATATTTTGTTATTAATTCTAATTTATAAAATAAATTTCAATATATCGAATTCTAAAAACTTAATTTTTACAATTTCATTTTCAGTGTTATCTCTAATCTAATACAAACAAAAATTTGTAAATTGTACATTATTTTTACCCTCTTACTTCCCAGTTAATTCCATATTTTAGGTGTTACCTATTCATATCTTTAATTCAACAAAAATGTTGACATTGCTGTGTTGACTTTATTATCGCTAAAAAAATTTTTTTAATGAAACCCCTAGGCTACCTTTTCAAATATTTACCATTCATCTACTAATAGTTTCTTTTTAGTGCCATGTGGTATACATATATATATATATATATGTATATGTCTATATATATATATATATATATATATATATATATACTTTTTAAAGTCATAAAATAACTTACTTGTTAGTTATAGATATCAGAGAATTGTATCATTTTCTATTCTTATCTGCAAATGTCTAAAATGCTATTATTATTTTGTTTTTGTTAGCCTTGTCTACTATATGAAGTATTTTAGTTGCCATTACTAATACTAACCTTATCGTATATGAGATATATGTATATATATAATCTGTCTGGTTGAATGTGGATAGTCGTTTAAGCATGATAATGCTTTAATTTTGGTTTTTTAGAGGTATTTTATTTACTTTGTTAGGGAGACTAATTTATATATTAAATTAGATGAATCTATGGTTCGTTTTTATAGTAAGTTTTAACTGCCTGGTAAAATGGTTGCCTAGTAAAAATATTTAATTTTGATAAAATAATAATAATTAAAAAATATATATATTAATTATTATTATATTATATGATGATTATTTTTTCAAAGTATAAATCTTTTTTACCAAAAAGCAAAAATTCCAAGAAATTTGTTTTTTATTCTATTTATTTTAATCTCGAGATAATCTTATCTCGATCACATTTCACAGCTGTTCAATTTTAAGTTACACCAAAAAGAAAAGAGGCAGCTAGATTACAAATAGCTCTGCAATTCATATAAATATATATGTATATACATCCAACTATATATGCTTGCAATTATAGCTAGCTATCGATAAGCTCTAAACGCAAAACCTCGAGACAGCTGCTTATTCGGAGCGGATTCAAAGTTTCAATTCCCAGCAGTTCTTTGTTCTTTCAGTTCTTTTGCACACAATCGAAGATAGTATCAATTTGTAGCTGAGGCAAATAACATGTGTGTACTCTCGTTTGTAGCAATTTGTTGGCGACGCTCTGGGCGTCAGAACTTCTGCTGAATCCTGCATGAATCCTGCATGAATCCTTCCTGCCAACTGTCACACAATCAAATGCCTGAGGCATGCAGCCAGCCAAGCAATTTTTCCATAGATCGTCGCTTCCATTTGCTGTAGCTCAATGATTTGCTGACATGTGTTGATTCTAAATTGATAGCATTATGTATACCCTGTAAATAGTTATTTATCAAGAAAGCTGTCATTTTTGTTGGTTGTTCTGGGAAAAGCTGTTGCAACAGTTTTTTTAGTGTATTCATTTTGTTAGATATTAAATTCCAGATTTTTGTTTACATTGAGAAATTAATATAAAATCTATATAATGAAGAAGAACAATAAATAGATGTGATTATTTGAAAATGCATGTGCATACTTTTGTAGTTGACTGTTAGATATATTCAGTTTGCAAATATTTATACAATAATCCACAAATTGCAACTCAATGCCAAGTCGAGCCCAGGGTAGCTTCTAGTCAATCAGGCTCAATCCCTAACAACTTCTCATTTTTCTTTTGTATCCTTTGGCCTTTTTCCTTTCACTCTGCTGGCAAATGATGTGCTCATCCAGGCATTCAGGCTGCAACTCCCAAAAGCACTTTTCCATATTGTTTTTCCATGCCAGGCTTTTCATCTTAGAAAACGTACAAATCTTTCACTCGTATCGCCATAAATTTAAAGAAATTTTTATGTCTTAGGCGAGTTTTTTTCGTTCTTCTTTAGTTTCTCATGAAATTATTCTTTTTATTTTGCTGTCAACTTGTCGCATTTTGTTTATTTTTGGAATTTTACTTTCCTTTATATTTTATAGCTGTCTGGAATGCTGGAAAGAAAATATATTTTGAATGTTATTTTTATGGAATGTATAAAAATAGCATGAAAATGCATTTGCATGAAAGATTTATTTACGCTGTTGCCTGAAAGTTAGTTGCGAGTTATTTATTTAATCAAAATTATGATTAATTAGACTTCAAAAATTTTGATAAGGAATTCTACGAATTCGTCGAGTGATACATTGAAATACTTAAATCATTTAATTCAATCAAGCTGAATATATATATTTTTTATCAATCTCAATTGACTATCGTATCTAAATACACATATCTATGTCTATATATATATATCAGTTAGCCTTTTCCATTTGCTGACATGAAAATAGATTTTTAATTCAATTGCCAGCAAGACTACCCCTAATAGGGCGAATAGATGAAACCATTTGTATTTTTTTCCTCCTTTTACTATGGGAGTCGGTCGTAGTTGGGTGGCTCACGGGTCAACTCGTTCAGCTAAGTTCAAGGCAAGGGAATTCGGAAAGGTGCAAAGACGTTGCCTGCAGCAAAACTACAAATGAAGTTGGAAATATTGTTGCAGCTGAATGGAATGAAACGAGCTGACTGACTGACTGGCCGGCTAAGTGGATGAAATGAAATGAAATTCAATTATAACTTTGTAGTCAGTTGTTACAGAACCGAGCACTAATAAGAAGACTACATTGTAGCTGACAGTATTCAACTAGTTTTATGATGAACATTGAACAGCAGAAATGCTGAGTCACACTTCGAGCTGGCAACAAATATTAACATAGACAAAGTATAAAGATATGTCCTTCAAATATATTCCAAAATGAAAGAGGGCAGCCATAAAGTAGGCTTTGTTTAGAATATGAAAGATGTTATACAAAAACTGGGTTCTACTTAAGATATCAGAAATTATCCATGAGTTAGATCCTAGATACAATTAAAATGAGATGATATCCAAAAGCTATAGATACTATTTGATCTACAGATTCTAATAGAGTATCTCTAAGGGCAATTACATGTTTCTTGCTGTCAATAGGTTTAGAGATGGAAAGACAGATAGACGTACTGTGGAAACTGCTAAGGAAAATATATTTTATATATATTTATGGGATCCACTACAAAAAGAAATTATTATTTATAATTATTAATGAAACCTATCACAATTTCTACTGCCTGTTACATATTATACCCAAACTTCATACTTTCAATGTGTTCAGCATATAGCAATCTTTTAAAAGTTAAGAGAAAAAGTCTGAACTCATCTAAGAACTATTTAGGGATTTATTTGTCTAAACTTAACTCTTAAGCTTGAAAGTTAGCTTTCAGCATACTCTGTTTAATACTAAGTTGTTTAATCAAGAGATCTTTTAACAGAAATATATATGTCTAAAGAATCATAAAGCGTTAACGTTACTCTAAAATACTACTGCTACTACTAGAAGCTAGTCACATTTACACCAATAGATTTAGCTATCCAAAAATATTATATGCAGACATAAATGTTCCCCTCTATAGGGAGTATTATCAAAATATCCCTTTTAGGGAAATTCTGAATTTCTCATATTTCGAAAAATTCTCAACAAACAATCCAAACCTTGGAGTTTATTATCATGAAATATTTTTTTTTAAAAGTATCATTTCCGAATCTCTTCAGTCAATCAGTTAAAAGACCTAAGCAATTTATTACTACGAGCTACTTCTATTTTGTAATTTCGTATGTATTTCAAGTATCCCGGTGAAAGCGTTGTGTGTGCGAACATTTATGGGAACATTTTCTCCCTATCGCTTGATATATGCGAGTTTAGGTAAGTGCGTCCCAAGTTGACCCAATCGAATCTAATCGAGCTGATCGACAAAGATAACAGGATGAATCGTCATGAGAATATTGTGTGCAAGGGCTGCAGTAAGGTGGACTTCACGGGTCGCTGTTATCGTTGCCTCAGTTGCCAGGACTTCAATATGTGTGCCGAGTGCTATGACAATGATTTTACAACAGCTCAGCATCCATTCGATCATCCGGTCAAGTGTGTCTTTACGCCGGCCGACGTCGAGCTCTATTTTGGCGGCGAATATCTTAACGACCCACCGCAGAGCTATCGATGTCCATACTGCAAGCAGTGGGGCTACAATGAGTCCACATTTCTGGAGCATGTGTCCGCTGAGCATGTGGGCGCCAGCACATTGCTGGTCTCCACCATGGTCACACTCTTCGAGCAGCAGCAGGCGGTTCGTTTGTTTCTCGAGGACGAACAACTGGCAGTGTTCGCTTCGGCCGCAACGTCACGCAATGAGCTCATGAATCGTAACGAGGGCTCGCTGGAGCTATTTTTGGAGCCACTCAATCCCAATGGCAGTTATCAGCGAGAGCATCCGACCTCTCCGCTAACATTTCGCGTTGCCAAACCCGGCGCCGTCGAGGTTGCGCCCTGGGTAGCCGAAGGTGGTGCCTTGACGGCGTCGAACAGTAACCACAACGTAGACAATAACTTTCTAATACCGGATCCAGTACGTCGTCAATCCCTATTAGATCGTGCCCGCCATCGTCTCAACTTTGATAGGCCTCCGTTGCCAGTGCAACAGCAGCAGCAGCAGCAGCAGCAGCAACAACAGCAGCAGCAACAACAGCAGCAGCAGCAACAACAACAGCACCAGCATCAGCACCATCAGCACCAGCAGCTTGGCAGCGGTCATCCCACGCTCTCGGAGATGATGAGATTCAACGAGCCGCTGCCCACCAGTCGTTCCAATCGTCCGGGCAACTTTCGTGTGGTGGCCAATCAGTCGCCCAATCAATCGAGCAGCGGTCGCAGCATAAATCTCTTTGGACCCAATGCAGCGGCCGAGAATATGCGACGTGCCTTCTATCCGCCCGGCGAGATCAGCAGGACGCGTGCCCAGCGGCATCGAGGGCCACGCATGCAAATGGAGGGATTCCCAGCGAGCGGTGTGAGGCAAGTGCATGTCCAGCGTTTGCGAGGCGGCCCAGGCCCTGGCCCAGCGACTGGGCCCAGTCCTGGCCAGCGTCTGGTCGAGTTCAGTGAGCTGGCGCATGGCGCCAACGAGCTGCTGGGCCAGAATGTCGCCTCCGGTGCGGTTATGTTGCGTACCATCGAGGAGGAGGAGCAGCAGCAACAGCAACAGCCCACATCCGAGTCGAAACAGTTGGAACAGGAGCGTGAACGTTACCTTTGCTACCCATTCCTATCTTCCTCATCCAGTGCGCCATGTCCGCCCGAGGAGCAAATCACATTTTTGGCCCAGCGGGCCGAATTTGTGGCCCAACTGTTGGCCTCGGTGCTGTGCGAGGAGGAACTGAGCGGCGGCATGGGCGCCATGGCGCCAGCCAACGATTCGACGGATGTGACCAACTTAATCAAGCGATCGAATAGCGAATTTGTGGGAGCTGGCGACTCCAAGCTGGATCTAAAGCACACCACACCATGCTAAAGCAAATGGACACTCGTCAAGTTCAGATTCGTTTTGGTTAACTGGGGCAAATGCAGCAGCAGCAGCCGAAACTTTCGTTGATTCTTTAACAATATAATAGGCACAAAAATTTTTGTAAATTCCAATTCCGATTTTGGAAAGGCCAGAAAAATCTATATCTATTTTCTTTTTGAGCATGCGGCCCCTGGGCCCAAACTTCTAAAATTACCAATTGTCGTAAAAGTGATTTGCGTCTTACAATTTAGACTTTCAGTCAAGTAATACTAGGGTCCGTTTTACGTAATCATCAAGCAAGCATATAAAGACGCTGAATAATCAATGTGAGTGTACACCAGATATTCAATACTAAATCGATAAGTTATCGATAAATTATTGTAACACAGCACCAGTTTTAAAAATAAAAACCTAACGAAAATAAAAGATCAATAGTTATTCGCGTATGAACGCAAAATGTACCGATATGTTATCGATCAAGATTAGAAATTCAGAAATACTAGCTATTTCGACAGATTTTAATATGAAAGAGTTTTTAAAGCAAATTAATTAAGGTGATTAAATACACAGTTCATTTTGATTGATTTTGATCGATAATTAATTCGAGTAGAATGCAATATATCGATAACTTATATTAACTTGTCTTTGTTGCTAACTAATTTTAAATATAGCTGAGTCTAAGAACTTGTTAAATTATTTCATATATGTCAAGCTGATATGTTATCGATAACTCTTAAATATACGTGGCTGCTATCTGTTTTGATGACTCTAAGGAATCGTGCCATTTGCCATGTTTATGTTAGACTAAATTTAAATTATATATAGATTGTAGACTTAATATCGATAACTTATCGATTTAGTATTGAAAAAATGTTAATTAAATTATGACCAGAGTGAACTGATGATATGTAAGGCATTGATATGTTATCGATAACTTAGAATAATTGAATGCATTCGATAAGTCATTGCTTATATTTGCAGCTTGGATTCATTTCTAAACAGGAATAAGTTATCGATATTCTGCCTTTCATTATGTTGAATAATTGATAATATATCGATACTTCAGCTAACACCTAATACACCCAACTAGCAATAGATAAACTGAACTCTTAAATTTGTTATCAATCTGTTATCGATAAATCTATCAATGTTTTAGCTATTTTTTAATACATAGAATGGCTTAGTAAAATTGAGGTTTTCCCATTTCATTTTCCATTTTCCTACCTTCACCATGCAACTAACCCATCATGAAAAAATGCCATTAGCGCCCCGCCTACGCTTAGCGTACTTCTCGAGGGCCAATTAAAAAGTCAAATGCCTCGCGGCCTGAAAATGTAATTTTGTTGGCAGCTCTGCCAACATTCTGTGGTTGACCACATTCTCTGTTGTCACCGCAGAGGACTCAGCCAACATTCCGTTTAATTATAAAAAAATTCAACGGGAGAGACAAAGTTCTGTATATAAAAGAAGATAATCTGTGCGCAGAAATTTAATTTTTAAATTGAAAGTAATTGAATAAATTGAAGCGTGTCTGAAATGGAAATCCCTTTGAGTCAATCAGGCGTGCCATGCTCCGGCAAAGTCTGCAGCAGACGCGTTTTAAATGAGTTTTATCTTATGGGCTTATGGGTATTTGCGAGATACGTGTATTTATATGGATATCGAGAGATATTTCTGATTGCAAATGATTCAATTTAATGGGTTCATTTAATCTTTTTATTATAATGTTGTGTCTGACACGCATTAAGTCTTTTTTTGTTTGCTACTACATATTCGATATGCAATAAGCATTCGCTTATTAACATTCAAAACAGCTGTCCATTAGTCAGCCAAAAGGTGTGTGTATGTGTGGAACTGTCGCGCCTTGCATGGAGCTACTTCTTTAGGTAAATTATGGAGAGTATATAAACGGCAAGTGGATGAGCACGTATCGTTTTCATATAAGCGGATAAATACTTCATTCATTCATTCATTTATTTATTGCTAATTGGCACTTGTAGTGGGTGTCCAACTAACATAGGCTTAACATCGAGAAGAACTGCATGTTAAACTAGCCAAGCACCAGCTTAATGGGACGCTTACTTTGAGAACAAGAATTTGTGAAGTGAATTATTTGTCATGAAGTAGATAATGTTTGTATTAACACTTTCAGTAAAGTGCTGATTACTCGCAGGCTAAATTTGCCATGAAGTAGATAAAGCTTATAGTAGACATTGGAACTAAATGAGTCTGAAAGTCAATTGAATTTGTGCGCTCACTAAAACCTTGAAGTTGACAAGCAAATTAACTACATATTAAAAATTTCTCAAAGAAAATTTAGCTTTTTACATTTAACTTAGTGACACTGAGAAGATGTAAAATTAAAAGTGCACAACATCGTGTCAAAGTGCTTGTTAACTTTGCCTTGAAGTACATAAGAATTTTTTCAAGCCTTAACTACAGATGCGACTGTAACTGAGCTTTCCATTAAGTAAGACTTGGCACACACTTGACCACACTTATCATGTGTCGCAGCACTTAGCATAACACTAGGGCGGTTTCTCTTACACATTTCCGCTTGGTAACCAGCGCCATTGACCCTGCAGAGCCACTGGGCTTGGCTGCACTTGACTTTCGCACCACTGAGACACTGACCTTCGAAGCGTGGCTGGATGGGTTGGCATGCTTAGCTGGCCGCAGTGACTAGCCCTAAATTCGATATATATAATGTGTGTGTCGGCAACCCCTATTGGGGCTAGGCAAACAGTTACGCAGTTGTGACATCAGCGTCAACGACATAATGAAGTGAGGGCCCATTTGGGTAGCTCCAATCTGATAGCCACTCGCACTCACCCACACTCTCTCGCTCTGTCTCTTTCATAGATATGCTGCCTATTATTGGAAGGTGTCGCGTGAAGGTCGTCGCGTTTATATGGATTACTACTATATGGAGAACGGTAAGCAGATCTATGGCGTGCCCATTGGCGGCATCGGTGGTGGCAGCATCGGACGTGGCTATGCCGGTGAATTCTGTCGCTTTCAAATGCGCCCAGGCATCTATGAGTACAATGTGGTGCATGCCAATCAGTTTATAGTGACCATCAAGGATCACAAAGGTTGCACCATATTTCAAAGCTTGCTATCCCGTTGCAGGTGAGTTGGATGCATAAATAAGCATATCTATCAAACTGTCTTTATCTTGGTGAAACTTCATCTATCAAACTATATAGACTATCACAAATATCTATCTATCTATCTCTATATATCCAACTGTATAGTATTTCTAATCAAAATTAAACGCCTACTCAATCATTTCATAATCACAAATATTTGTGCTTAACTTTCTGCTTTATGGCTTCTCATTTCTCTTAGTTCCCCACGGCCTTTAACCACTTGCTTTGTGCTTTTCATAACATGCTTTATTCTAAAAGCTGCTTAACAAACACGCGATCTTTGGGAAATTTAGCTCAATTTTAATTGTTAACATAGCTGACTTTTAGCTTTTGTTTATTGTAGCTCTAATCGAAACATTTATGACATGAATTCGACGCAGTTTTTATATACTCGTTCATGTGTGGAAAATAGATCTGATTGGCTTTGTGCAAGGTCTGTTTGAAGGCAAAACTTTTTGCTGCTATTGAAGCTATGGGTTTGAGATCTGAAATATACTGTCTTATAACTGAGTTCTAGGTGAAAATATATCTTATATATGTGTATAAATAAATGTCTATGATTATTGGAGGCTGGACAAATCAGGTTAGGGTACATCTAGAAAGGAAGCATCAGCACGACTTGCAGATAGATAATTGTGGACCCCCTGCACAGATGAATCTATAAAATTATATGATGCTATGGACGTGGCTCATCCGAAAATATCGTTTTTTTAAATAAAATTAATTTTGTTTAGACCATAAACGAGTATTATACGGTCAGTTGTGACCGACTTAATGATCTCAATAAGAAAGGAAGGCCTTTCACTCACTGCTAACATTATTACAAACTGTTAACGTACTGTTGACTTTGCTACGTTAACAGTACAGACTAGATCAGCATTAACAGTGTTATACTCTGTTACATAGCACTATTCAAGTTAAGCTCAGCTGTAACAGTGTCTAAAACTGAACACTAACATAGCTAACTGGTTAACAGTACAGACTCGTACAACAATACCAGTGTTCTGCTCTGTTACATAGCATTAATGTTAAGTTCAGCAGTAACAGTGCATATTAGCTAAACACTAACAGAGCTAACTGCTTAACAGCACAGACTCGTACAGCATTAACAGTCTTATACTCTGTTACATACCATTAAGTGTTAAGTTTAGCAGTAACAGTGCTAGCACGATAAAAGTAAAACTTAACAGCTCAGCACTAAATGTGATAGCTAACATGTTAGCTGATTTCTGTTAGTTCAATAAGTAATCAAAGTAGATTATAAAACTGCATTACAGTAGACTATTCAGCGTATAATCATGGTCATCTTGTATTATATACGTGCATACTATTAGATAGACATCTTGATATGTATATAGCCTAACCCTAGTGTTGTTTTCTCCCTGTGCATAACACTGTCTATCTAGCCTCCACTACTTCTAATATAACACTTTCCTAACTAAGTCTCTTCACAAATGCTTAAACTGACTACCTTTCTCCTCACTCTGACACTAATTAATGGCCCCTAATAACACGGATAATTCCACTAATTAACGTTCAAATGTCAATGAGTTGAAATTATAATTTCACAGCGTAATATTTACTTTTTCTCTCATTTTCGCTGCACCTGACAACAATCTATAAACAAATACAACAACCATGATCATCACGATCACGATCACGAACACGGGGAAATGTGGAATAAAAAATTAAAACTTGCGTTTCTATGTGGCTTTGGTTTACATTTTTGATTTTGCTTTCGGGCTGTGACTTTGGTTTCGGCTTTGGTTTTGTTTTTGCTTTTGCGCGTGGCGATCTACAAAAATCCATATATCATCTATATGCGAATGCGTAGCACCAAATCATTCAAGGCAAAGAACACCTCCAGCACCAACAACAACGATAACGATGCTGAGGCCGATGAGGCCGACGCACAAAAAACTAAATGTCAACTGCCCAATTGCAGCAGCAACCGGAACAGACAGCCGCTGAGCGCTTGGCACTCGAATATCGAGGATGCGCGCTGCAGCTATACGGGTCTGTATCCACGCGCGTGGACCGAGTACGATCTGTCGCACTATGGCGTACGCCTGATCTGTCGCCAGATCTCGCCCGTCATACCGCATGACTACAAGGAGTCGAGTCTACCGTGCGCCGTCTTCGTGTGGTCAGCGCAAAACGTTTGCGATCAGGAACGCAAGGTGTCGATAACGTTTACGTTCAAGAACGGCACTGGCAACAAGAAGCAGGATGCCGAAGGCAATGCCGAATCGCAGCTAATCGGCGAGGGCAATGCCAAGGGCGTGGCTATTAGGCAAAAAATAGGCGACATGCCCTGCAGCTATAATCTAGCCTGTCGCGTTCTGCCCGAAATTAGTATAACGCGCTGTCCGCAATTCGATCCGGCTGGCAATGGCGAGCAGCTGTGGGCACAGCTCAAGGAATACGGACAGCTCAACGAGCAGCCCACATCGGAGAGTCTTAAAAGTAGGTTGAAATTGTATTTATAGAAATCGATATCCAACTAAACTTTCCTTTCCACTCACAGCTAAGGACATCGGCGTAGCTGTCTGTGCACAGTTGGCTCTCAAGCCGCAGGCATCGCACGAGCTGGAATTTGTGCTGGCCTGGGACATGCCCAAGATTCAGTTTCCACGCAAATTGCAAACGCACACGCGCTACTACACCAAATACTTTGACGATAGCGGCGAGTGCGGGCCAAAGATATGCGAATATGCATTGAAACACTATGCCAGCTGGGAGCGACTCATCGATGCCTGGCAGCGCCCCATACTCAATGATGAGTGAGTCTCAATTCAATATATGCTCCATAGGCCAAGCTAATCTCTGCCTAAATTCACAGCGGCCTGCCCGATTGGTATAAGTGCGCCATATTCAATCAGCTCTACTACATCTCGGATGGCGGCACAATCTGGCTGAAGTGCGACTCTTCGTTGGGCACACAGCTGGCTTTCGACGATCCGCGCTTGGCCTACGGCCGCTTCGGCTATCTGGAGGGTCATGAGTATCGAATGTACAATACGTACGATGTTCACTTCTATGCCTCGCCGGCATTGGCCCATCTCTGGCCCAATTTGCAAGTTAGCTTGCAGTACGATTTCAAGGATGCCATTGCTGCTGAGCTGAATGATACACGTAAAATGTTATACGATGGCAAGGTGATGCCGCGCAAGGTCAAGAATTGTGTGCCACACGATCTAGGCGATCCCGATGAGGGCAAGTACACGTGCTCCTCTAAATCAATAAATATTGAAATTGTCTTTGCCCCTTAGAGCCCTTCACACTCATCAACTGCTATAACATACACGATGTGAACGACTGGAAGGATCTCAATACAAAGTTCGTGCTACAGGTTTATAGGGATTACTATGTGCTCAACGAGCTGGCCCAGGCGCAGGCGGATAATGCCAGCAAATTTAGCTCAATTGAGTTTATAGACAAGGAGAGCCTTTACGAGCTGTACAGCCAGGATAACAAGCGCAAGAACTCAGCGGATGGCAAGCAGCGTAGGCACAACTTAACATAGATAACCAAATCATATAAAAATATATATATTTGCTAATTCTTTCAGAGAATCGCAAATCTGCTTCCATGTACATCAATGAAACGAATGGCAAGGTATATCTCATGGATGCCATGGGCTATCTGAAGGCTATGTATGCCGCCTGTAAGGCCATCATGGAACGCACCATTGAGTATGACAAGGATAATGATGGCCTTATCGAGAACACCAAAATGCCGGATCAGACTTACGATTCATGGGTAATGGATGGACCGAGTGCTTACTGCTCTGGCCTCTGGCTAGCTGCTTTGCAAACGATGTCCGTTATGGCCACACTTTTGGATCAACCGAACGACTGTTTGCGCTATCAGGATATATTGGAGAAGGGCAAACGGTCGCTGGAGGAGAAGTTATGGAACGGCAGCTATTATCGTTTCGATTTGTCGCACAGTCATCGCGATACGATTATGGCCGATCAGCTGTGCGGCCATTGGTACTTGAAGTCTTGCGGCTTTGACTACGAGATCTATCCCAAGGAGAATGTGCGCACCGCTTTGAAACGCATTTACGACAACAATGTGATGGGCTTTCATGAGGGCAACATTGGCGCCGCCAATGGCTTCATTGCAAATGCCACTGAGCCCTCAAAGCCGGGCCATGTGGACAATAGCAACATTCAGGCGGAGGAGGTGTGGCCAGGCGTTGTGTATGCCCTGGCCGCAACTATGATACAGGAGGGCATGTTTGACGAGGCCTTCCAGACAGCCGGCGGCATGTACAAGACACTATCGCAACGCATTGGCATGAACTTTGAAACGCCGGAGGCACTCTATGGCGAGAAACGCTATCGTTCAATTGGCTATATGCGGCCCCTGAGCATTTGGTCCATGCAGGTGGCCTGGGAGCGACGCCGCGCGCTACGCGACTAATTCATTCGAGTACAATCTATAAGTAGTTGAGTTATCTATATATGTACGCGCTACCAACCAAAGATATTTCCTAAGCTATCACAAAAGGTTCTTAGCTTTTAGTTTATGTTTTGCGGTCGCAACGTAACGAGCTTAATTCATTAAAAAGGTAAAACAAAAAATCAACGGTATTCAAACGTTTGAGCAAATAGCTTTATATATTTATGTATTTTTAACACTAAGTTCAATCGTTTACTTATTGTCAATGTCTTCTCTAGCCACTAAGTTAATTCAAAACACGCGCTAAGACCTATCAAGGGGCACCTGCTTAAAGGCTCTGCTCTGTTCCAAGTACAATTATTGAATGGTATTCATCATACAAGAAGCACAAAACGTATTAAAATGTTAGCTAAGCCAGTTGTTTACATTTACAAATTATGCTGGCTCTTTAATTATTATATAAATGTATTTATGTCTATACAAATTAGCAAATTATTCAAATATTTCAAATGTTGCTGTCAAAAATAAAATTCAAGAAACAAAACTAAGCTCGACCAGACTGTCGCCAGTTTCAATATGAAGTCATTTTTATGGTAATATAAAAGATAAAATTATTGACCAAAATTTTGATACGAGACATGTCATAAGACAGAAGTTTCTTTAGGCTTCTCAGGAAGCCTTTACGGCAGATTCTTTCAATTTATCTGTCTCTAATCTCTAATCTCTGCCTCGACAAACACCCGCTTCAAAGCAATATCTAAATAACCAATTTTGACTTTCCAATCGATTCCGTTTTTCCATTTATTAACATTCTGAATGTTTAAAGCAAGCCAACAGTGTATCGCAGTTTAATTCAAAATAAAAACTATATATCTATGTAACACTATAGACGAATCGGTGGCCATTTACGATCAACAGTTAAAAGTTTGCTCCTACTTACGGCTCAACTGCTGTTGATCTGTTTTGGCGTTCCACGCTGATCGTTCCATTGTTGCAAAAACTTATCATATTCACGCCTGCTGCGGCACAAAATGACCAGCGTGGAGGGTCGACAGCCGATGGACTCGAGCTCCTCCATGCGCTGTCGCGTGGTCTTTAAGCTGTGGCACAAAATCCGCGGCACTTGCGCAATTTCAAAGCGTGTGAATTTCGCAACGTCTAGCAGATAGTCCAACACTTCTTTGATCTGTTAAAAAAGGGCGGCTATAGTTATATCTAAAGTGAGGCAAGCAATTCTACTATCGAACCTTTGTCACGCGCACTGTGTGCACCTGCGGATGTCGATCCATAATTGCCTTCGTTTCGCTAACACTAAAGCCCAAACGATGCGCCACATATTCCACCACGGAGGAGAACTCGCCCAGCACCTGCAGCTCGTCTAGGGTGAGCTTCAGAGAGCTGTAAGAAATATTTACATATATAAGTATAACAAATGTCTAAATAGCTGTTTCAATAACCTTGCCTCTCTTACTCAGACTTCGCTAGCGACTACTGACTCGTTGTTTTGCCACTCCAGATCTAACCAATCTAACGGCTAAGTCGATTTTTAATCAGTAATAAGAAAGTGCGATAAGATCAAACAGAGATCGGAAAGAAAGTCGGACATGAGTAGATTCATTTGGATAGTTATCCTAACCCAAAATGCATAGCTACTTTATGGCTTAGACTTTTACTGTCCTAAATCCTATTTTCAATAGGCAAATTAGTTTGCTTCTATTTACCGTTGCAGTATTGGTTCCGGACAGCGCACCATCCAAGGCATTATTTTATCCTTTTTGGCGCGTTGAGCGCGCTCCAAGCGCAGCTCCACCGACTTGGGCGTATAGCGAAAGGCCCACAGATCTTTAAGTATATTAATGGGCGACACATTATAGTGTATCATGTGCTCCAAATTCTTCTCGAACATTTCATATGGCATTTCCAGTATGAACAGTCGCTTCGACAAATATTTTGTGACTATCTCCGGGCTCACACCCAGCTTATCGCTGATGTAGTAAACGCGATTCTTCTGAGGGTATTCGTTGGTTTCGGCATTCAAGACGCTGACTAGCTTACGCAGGCGTGGCAATGTAAGACGCAGAAATGGCACAAAGTGATTTATGTCTAGCATGTGCATGCTTTTGAGCAGCTCTAGTTTCAGTTGCAGACGTTCTGGAAGGATTTCAGAATTAGAATTTGTACGGATTTAATTTAATTCTTTGCTTTTACTCTGATCCAACACCAGCAGCCAGGGATATTCGACAAAACTTTGCTTGGTCACACCCTCCAGCAGCAGCGTGTCTAGCACATGGGTTAGGCAGCGATTGCGATAGCTGCGATGCACTTGCTCATCGCTCACGATGCGCTCCACTTCCTTCTCGGTGAGGCGAAAGCGTTCGCGCAGCGCTGCAATGAGAACGCTAACGCGACTTCCGCTTTCCAGCTCTGTTCGATACGGGACATATTCATTGTCCGCCTCACTAGCTGTGGGCGTTGCGTGTATGCTTATGCCGGCTGTAGCTGCCAGCGTAGGTTGCTTATTGCTCAAGCGTCCCTCGCATGCGTATTGTGTAAAAAGCGCGCGGCTAAGATCTGTTGTATGAAGCAAGCGAACGGCGTGAGGGTACGTTTGACGCTGCAGTTTAAGCACGCTATCAAAACTGCGCGTCAAATTGCGCAACATGGTACAAATATTTGGTAGAAACAATGGTGAATAATTAATACTAAAACTATTACAATTTGTACGCGAAGAAAAAGTTTACCGAACAGCTGAAAGCACGGCGTTGCCACTGTATTTATGTGAGTTTTCTTGCTACCTCAGTTAACAGGTCTGGTAACATAGCTCAAGTATAACAGCCCTGCACTTGCATATTGCATAGAAGCAAGCGCGCGCTAACAAAAATATTTAAATATGAGCTTAATCAAAATATGGCTCGAAATATGACTACATTAACTTATTATCAAAATATGTCTAGAAACATAACTATCTTAACTATTATTAAAATGTAATTTATATATCTCTATGCTGGTTATTTTCTATGATAACAACTTAATCAAATTTTTCAAAACGCTTTTTATTTGTTTTTATATTTGACTTTATTGTGCAAAAATACTGTTTTCCAACACTGGCATGTGATTAAGAACAAGTTCAAACATGTACATAAATCATGAAATATTTATCACAAAAATTCCATTAGCCTTCAAATGGACAAAATAAAAGAGAAATTAGAAAAAACAACGAGAGCACATTTAGAAAACAAAACCGTTAATAGAACTTTGAAAAACAATCTACTTTACTCCACATCAATGTCCTTGGTGACACGACCCACCCAGTAGACGAAGCCAGTTTGCACCACAGTTGCCATGAATTTAACATTGCCCTTATAGCCTGCTGGTGGGATCCAGTCAAAGGTGACACCGCTCAGAGGGCTGCCCTTGACGGCCTTCAGATGGGTCAGTGAATCCTAAATAGAATTCAATTAGTAATTAGATAAAAGACCAATTATTTGTTGCTGTTGTTCTCACTTCAGGTCCCGAGCAGTCCAGGGTTTGGGAGTGTTGAGTGTCCACCACCTTGAACTGACCCACCACACGATTCTGACCATCGCGTGCTTGAATCAGGAAGCCTAGGAACTCATCACCGCCTAGAGTCAATGTCAGCTTCTGATCGCCACGCACATGCGAGGGGCCGGAGAAGCTATATGGCGGCTTCTTGGTCTGCAGCTCAGCTCCGTGCTGTGGAGTTAGATCACGGCAGGCAGCCTTCGGTGCGCCCTCTGAGTAGGCGTGCACACTAACAACCAGAAAGGCGGCAATCAGCAGCATACGGAACATTGTGTCTATAGTGAAGAGAAAGAAAAAGAGAGCGAGAGAGAGAGCAACAAAAACATTAGTGCAATAGTATAAATACAACTAAAGGGCGGTAACTGTTAATTTACATTTGTGGCTGCAGAGCCTATGCTTGTATCTGTTACTGCTAACAGCAGTTCGCTAAAGCTAACATGATCTTATTTCCTGTAGCTAAATTTAATTTGCAACACTGTTAAGCGACTACCTTAGCCCTGCGCTGCATAAGCTTAAGAGTCTGTTATGCCTGGCTATGTTAACTAACAGTTGTTTCCTACCTACTTGAAATATCTGTTATTAGCTGCAGTTTGTCTGCTTCACTGTTAATGCTAATGCAATCAGTTCTGTTATCATTAAAGCCTCTGTTAACCGTTAAATAAGTATTTGAAATGGAAAGCTAATTGTTTGTGTTTGTTTTTCTTTTTTGCTTTTGTTCACTAATTAATTAATTAACATTTACAACAATGTGCGCGACCTTATCACATATTAGTTTATTCATTTTCCTAGCACTGCCCTTGGCCAGCTTGACCAGCTAGCTGTATAAATGTTATCTCCATATTGCATTCGCAATTTATATATGAATTGAAAACCAGAATTTAGCGACAAGTTTCTGTACAGATGCACTTTGCACAGCTGGCGCTTAGCCTTGAATAATTGGCAAACGTCACCAAATCGTTATGAGGCTCTCTCGAAGTCGGGTTCAACTAACGCGAAAGACACTTCTAAAGACTTGCCAAAATTAGGTAATTCCAGCACGCTTCGCCCATAAATCGTAACTCAGATATATACATACATATATAATATATAACAAAATAATTATCAACTTGGCCAAGTTGCATTTGCATGCTGCTTAAAAGAGCTTTAGAAAAAGAGATAAGCAAGAAAAAAATTCAAACAATATGTATAACTGGTTTTTGGAGCTATACGAAATTCGAAAAAACATTAAAATCAAAACCCGTTTACAGTACATTTCCATTAAAGTGCGATTCCATAGAAACTTAACTTTAACTGATCATTCAGCTGGGCCTTTTATAAGAAGAAATCATATAGTGTATTGCGTCGTGACGGCTGGAGGGGAGGGGCAAAATGTTTCAATTGCTTTAAGCATTTCCTGAACTTCAATTCAAGTTCAAGGCAACCAATTTTGCTGGCCTTTTATTAGTTTCCTATTGATCTACAATGCACGAACTATGAGACAATGATCTACGATTGTCAATCTATGAATTACGATCTATGATAACCAAATACGATCTTCGATCTACAATGCACAATTGCCGATCCATGATCTACGGTATATGATAATTTATCGAAGACTTGCTGCAGATGATCTACAAGCAATAATCTTTCTACGGTATTCAATCGACAATCTATGATCTATACGAGCTATACGATCATCGATCTGCAATGCCCAATCGACTATCTATGTCTTACGATCTACAAACTAAGATCGATCCGATGTACCATTTATGTTTTGCGAGCTACGATATAAGATCCATGACCTTAGATCTAAATAAGATCAACAATCCTCGATGTACAGTGCACAATCATCGATCTATGTTTTACGATATACCATGTACGATAATCGGCCTGAACTCAAAGCAATCTATTCACACGCCAACGCAGTCGAGCACTAAAGACCTTGTCTCAACGAAAAAAAAGTGTCAAGCCAGTTTGTCTTGGTACTGAGCCCAGCCTCAAGTCGGAGATTTACATATATAGATATACCAGATATACAAGCATATGTACAACTAGCTTGTTTATATGTTAAAGTTCAGCCTTTTGCCTAGCTACATTAATGATAATTTGTCTTGTCTTGTCTTCTGCTGTGTTGTGTTGCCTTTGGTTGTTTATTTTGTCAAAAAACCGGTTGCTTGATTTGTTTAAATAAAATCTCATCGTTTATTTGCCTCTGGCCAAGCACAGAAATCCTCAATTATTGGGTATTTTGTAATGTTTTGGCCGAATTGAGTTCGAAATTATGAGTTCGCTGAGGCTTGAAGCAGAATAAATATATGAATTATGGAAAACTAATAAACCATTGTTTAATAACACGCAATGCTTAAATGCGAAAAACTGGGAAAAATATTAAACAATTGATTAATTATATATGTCTGTATAATAACTCTATTATAAACATGCCAATGCTTGGCAAATAGTTTATTAATAAATTTAATAAAATCAGCTTTGGACATTTGGTATTAAAATATTGAGCTTTGAACTGTTATCCTGATATTTTCATAAATTACTATAGATTTACATAATATTTAATTTACTATTTATCCTAGACTTTGTTTACGAGGAAATTTGCACAATAAATCGACTAAAAATTTATTAGGAATTATTTGCAATATTTTAATATTTTTGCATTGCACTCTTGTCCTGTTATATTTTAAATATTATTTTCTTATCTTTTATGACACTGCACAATATTTGTATGTTTTAACCTACCGTTTAGTTAACCAAAAACCACACGGCACGAAAGAAAAACTTGAAATGAGCTGAAAATTCTACCACAGCTGCCTATTTATACCAAAATAAATAACAAGCAATGCTTAAATGCGAAAAACTGGGAAAAATATTAAACAATTGATTAATTATATATGTCTGTATAATAACTCTATTATAAACATGCCAATGCTTGGCAAATAGTTTATTAATAAATTTAATAAAATCAGCTTTGGACATTTGGTATTAAAATATTGAGCTTTGAACTGTTATCCTGATATTTTCATAAATTACTATAGATTTACATAATATTTAATTTACTATTTATCCTAGACTTTGTTTACGAGGAAACTTGCACAATAAATCGACTACAAATTTATTAGGAATTATTTGCAATATTTTAATATTTTTGCATTGCACTCTTGTCCTGTTATATTTTAAATATTATTTTCTTATCTTTTATGACACTGCACAATATTTGTATGTTTTAACCTACCGTTTAGTTAACCAAAAACCACACGGCACGAAAGAAAAACTTGAAATGAGCTGAAAATTCTACCACAACTGCCTATTTATACCAAAATAAATAAAAATATATATTAAAGCCAACTACAAAGCCGGTCCGAGCTGAAACTATGAGAAGCAACAGCTTTATAGACCGGTCAGCGCTGAGCTTTTCAGCCAGCAAAGCTGAGCTTATGGAAAGCTTTGCTGCCTTCATTTAAATGAGAACTGTTACGCTTGGCGAACGTCGTTTCAGGAAAAACAAAGTCGAGTCTATAAAACTGCTAAACGCTGACTAATGCTTTAATCTAAATAGATAAACAAATGCCGAGTACTTAATTAACAGCATTCCATTTTTTTATATATATTTTTTTTGCTACAAATTCGCTAATAAATGTCAAATTTGTTTTTTTCTTTATTGAACAATTAAAATGAAATTTGATGGCCTAAATTAAATTTTGTTAAATTGAGCGTTGTAAGAAAAGTGGGCCAAATTGTAGGACAGAACATATTTATCAGTTAATTAGCTGTTTATATAATTAATTGAGTTTTACAAAATTTCTTATACAAATTTTTAACTCACTTTTTCTACATTTTCTTTTATTTACATTGAATTGCTTTCAATTCTAACGGCACTTTGTCAATAGATTTAAGCTTCAACAGTCTGGCAACTTGTCAGAGCTGCCACGCTGCTGCCTTTAGCTGTCATTTTTAAACATTCGTTAAGCAAAAGCTAGAAAAAAAGTTAATTCATGTCAAATAATATAAAAGGACGAGCAAAACTAAGCTAAGCAATCAATGTTTTTAAGAAAACATATATTATAATTTTAAATTATATTCTAAAACAAAACTATGGGCGCAGAGCAATCGGCTTTGTTAGCCTGCACCCAAACGGGCAAACCTGAAAAGCCACTGAAGCTGGAAAACGCTGAACAATTTTTTCAATTGTATTTCGATAGAATGCCTGAACCTAAAACGGGACCTGTTACAGAGGCGCTGTTGCATTTAATAATGAATGCACCGCACCCAAACTTAGGTAGGTGTCGATAAATGTGATCCAATCAAGTGAAAGCTATGCAAATTCAACTGTAGAGTCCAGGGAGCGAGCCAGCTGGGCGAACCAGCAGGAACAGGATTCGGGCTATGAGAACGATGAGCCAGAAACGGAAGAGCCTAGCGAGGAGGAGCTCGATATCGATATGGTATCGGAGGAGGAAACAGTTGATCAATTATCGGATACTGAAATGAGCATAGAATCTAATTCTACTATTTATAATAATAATGATGACGGCGATAATAATGATAGCGATTTTGAACTGATTCCATTGGAATTTGTCGATCTGCAGCCCATCGAGAGTCTCAATATGGAAGATCCGCAGCTGGAATTCGAGAAGGAGTTTATAATAAAGGTTGCTGACTTGAATGAAGAATTATTATAGTCTAATTTTTACATAAATTAAAGCATTATGCACACTCATGTTCTCCTACTTAAAATTAACCTTCTTCAATCTTAGGGACTTGATGTTTCTCACTATGCCGCGGCGTTCGTCTCGATGCTTTTTCAGCTCTGCTTCACGTTTCTTTGCCATGTATTGGGATTTCTTTTCTTTGTTCACTTCAAAGGTCATCTGGCGATTGCCCAGTGAGCGGCCCACATTTGTTACATTGCCCTCCAGGCTGGACATTACGCGAATGCGATCCTGGAGACTGGCCTGTTTGATGCGCTGCTCCACCTCGCTGTTGCCCCGATGTTTGTCCAGCGGCGTTAGCTTGAAGTGTGTGCTATTGCTTGGTACCTGTTGTCTATTTCCGTTTGCTATTGGCGCCGCATAATCATCTGGGCCATCGGGCTCTTCATCCTCTTGCTCTGCTTCTTCCTCATCTTCACGCTGCTGTTTGACCTGTTTGTATGCCTGCTTCATTTCCTTCACGTACTCGCGCCTATCCTCATCATCTGAGGAGGCTTCATCGCCGCTGCTCGCCTCGCTGTCCCCATCACTCTTTTCGAAACCAAACAGATCTTCATCATTGTCGCTATCCTCTCGGGTTTGCGCCTCCTCGGCGTGCAGCTCTGCAACGTGTGCCACTTCAATACGCTGCTTAATGGCCTTTGCCTTGGACTTGTCCAAGCGATTGAGCACAGGTGCGAGCAGTCGATATTCCTCGGCCTCTTTGTTAACCGCAAAGTCGGTGTTCTCGAACATGGCCTTGAAACGTGTATCCTGTAGCAAACTGGGCATATTGCGTTGCTTGGCGCTGTTCGAGGGATTCGCTTGCTCATCCATAATCTTAAGTGCCAGCTCCTTGTTAACCTTTGGCAGTTTAGATTCAATTTGGAGACGTGATTTCCGCTCACTTTCAATCTCCTGCCGCACTTTCTCCTTGCGGAAGCGATCGAAGGCGAATGGCTCGACCACAGCTTTGGCTTTGTTATACAGACGCGCGTCCATAAAGTATCTAGGAATAGGAAGAGATTAAAGCACATAAATTCAACAGGAAAATTTGAACGGTTACCCATGCATATAGCCCTTGAGCAGATTGCTGCCAATGAGATGTTCCAGGCCCAGTTCAGCAAGTTCCTTTTGTGTGATAAATTGATAATCATCGTAGACATTCTCCACAACCTCCGATTCAATTTCCTCGGTTAGATTGTCCAAGAAGCTGCACCAACGCGGCGCTGGGCCCATAGCAGGCACGTAGTATGTCATCATTTTAACATCTTCCTGCGCCAAAAAGAACATGCCTGTATCGGGTATGGTGCAAAAGTCGTTGAACGATGATGTCGACTCTACATAGGCAATTTGTTTTCCGGTCTGCTCATCCCACAGTTTCAACGTGGCCTCGTCCAAACTATAGACGGCATTTTGGGATGGATTGAATGCCAGCCGCTTGATAGGCACCTTATTTAGATGATCTTTGATTAATAATGGCTGGCGGGAACGTATATCATAGAGTAGCACATGTCCAGAAGCAGTGCCAACAGCCATTTGTAGACCATTGCGATATTTAAGCGCTGTGACCGACGGAAACACTTTTACACCCGGCAGTTTCATGGCCACATCCAAAATGGCACAACGCTGTTTTGTGCGTGGATCCCATGCCTCAACAGTTCCTTCTTTGCTGCCCACAGTTAGAAGCTGATGCTCAGGATTTACTTCGCAAGCATTAAGGCAACTAGCATCCGATTCATACGGCTGTAAGAATTGTCCACGCTCCAGATTAAGACGATAGATGTCCTATTAAAAGGATATGCTTAGATCCAATTAATTGTCATAGTTTGCTCACAGTTTTTACTCACTCTGCCCACACCCACAATGAACATATCGCAACTGGGCTTATGGTACTTCATATCACGTCCAAAGCGAGGTATGCGCAATCTGTAGTGACGTCCATGTGCTGCATGGATTTCGATGTAGCGATCGCATTGCAGAAACACCATCTTGCTGTAATCATCGCTGATCACCTCGAATGTCGTAACCTCCGAGTCGAAACAGCGCTCAAATTTGATGGACAGATTGCTAACTTCAAAGCATTTGACACGTGGTTTATATGTGCCTGTGGCCAGTATAAACTGTTGATCGGGGCTCATACGTATGCTTGTACAAACGCCGGGCATATCGAAGTCTTGGATGAGCTCGATCTGTCGCCTCGAATCCACCTTCTTCATCAGCTGTGAGCGCTTGCGGCGATCGGTGAGCCACTTTATAGAAATCAAACGTTAATTAGATGCTGCATAAATGAAACGTACCATTACTTACATCTGGCACCGACTTGCCGGCGCTCAGGTTATAGATTTTCACATCGTTCACTTCGTTGACAAACATTACTGCATTTTAAAATAAAATATCGCGCATAAACAAAAGGAACACGTGCGGTACGGCGGTATGACAGTGCTGTGTAGTAAGCTAACTGCTCCACTTCGCAACACTGCTAGCAAGTGCTGCACAGCTGTTAATTTGATTACCATGTATATGTATATATGTATATGTATATATTATTAAACAGTCTGGCAACATCATAGAACTCGTTGCTAAATTTGCAAACAAGAAAACGCAAAAGATATTTGCTGCTGGCCACCCAGCAAAGTTTTCGTCGTTGCAAATTAAACCTATTTCGTTTAGTGTTATATATATTACTGCATATTATTGCTAATTGCTCTGCTTTTAAACTAAGCATAAACCACGACTGGCATCGTCTGAGTGTGATTGGAAGTATAAACAAATACAGAAGCGATACGCATATACACAGAAACAATAGTAACACCCCCGTGCTCGTTGTTGCAGCCCTACATTCCTGTTCCCTAGTTAAAGCCAAAACACAGAAAAAATATAAAAACGGTGAGTAATATATATTGTTGTTGTTAAGCCAATTAAAAACGCGCTGCAATTTTGATTGCGTCTTTAGCTAATATTCAGAATGTACGTAACTTGTGGTCTTATGGGTGTGTGTGTGTTTCTGTGTAATTGTATTGGTGTCAGGGGTAAAGGTGGGGGCCGTCTGGGAGTACCGTAATGACAACTTTCCCTTATACTATATAAAGTACTCGCTATGTTATTGTTGTTGTTTTAGGGCAGCCCAGTTTCGACCTCTCGCTCTCGATATTAGTCTGCGCGGGTCTACACCCCTCAAATCGTTGTTGTTGTGGCAGTCTCCGTTACCGCGAGTTGTGTTTATTTCTTTTTATCAAAAACTGGTGCTTCAGCAGGCAACAGGGAACATTCCCACACACAGACAACCCCACATTTACGCAAATTTTATTTTAATTATTTGTTTCAATCAATTTGAAGATCTTTATCAGCGTCTCGAGTAGATATTAAACTTTTAATACTATTTTTTTTATTCCGTCTTTTTTGTGAGTCAACATGGAGCAGGTTTTGCTCCGTTTTCATTCATAGTTATGCGATTGACTGATAAGGCGGGTTATATATTCACTTGACAATAAATTAATATAATTTTTATTGTTTGTTTAATGGACAAACAATGGTTAATAGAAATCTATGAAGCCCATTAGAAAAAAAAATTAGATAAATGATTTCTTTAGATGTGTATCTTTGATCTTGCCTGCCCATTTAGGACGATTTCGTTGACATTTATAACTAAAATTTATCTAATAAGAATTGTAAATAAACAAAAACAATCATTTTTTTCATCTTGCTAAGAATTTTGATTTTATAAAGTATTTTTTTCAGTGCATTAATAATTATAATTTGCCAACAAAAGCTTCGTTTATCTGTAAGCAAATGTGAACTTTTTTAGCTTAGAATGCCAAACATAAGCTTAACTACTAGAAATATGTAGAAGCTAAATTTTATAAAGTTATTTCTTGCTTCAAAAATAATATTGTATTAATTGTCAATATAATTTTCTCAATATAAGTTTCCTTCCTATAAATATGTCTCAAGTTCTGATAGCTTGGTATTCTTACCAAAGCCTTAGCTCATTCCGACTTGCTGATATGATATGCGTACTTGGAACGTTGTTTTGCGACTATCTGACAAACTTTAAAGTGGGGTCGCGCCACACCAACTCTTCAAACAATAAAACAGCGCTCGGTTTTTAACTCAGTCAACAAATAAACTGAATGGCCGGACGGCTGTTTAAATATGAGGCACAAGACCCACAATTGGGAACAGCCCCAACCACGCTGGCAACATGCCACAAAAAAAAAAAAAAATAAATAAACAGTAGTCCAGAAGCGACACTGAAACGAATTAATGCAGCGTTACAATTGCCTGATAGGCAGGCAGGTCGCAAGACACTCAACTTCTGCATAGAGGCATCTAAATGTGCATATATAGCTTATATAGTGGCAACTGGCATTGGTAGACATGGATGTAAAGCTGCGCAAGATGCGTGGAATTGTTAACAAACTCCACGAACGCATAGATTACCTAATAGAAAACTGTGCGAATGGGCCAACGAAAGCTTATACTAAATCAATATGTTCAACTAATATGCATAATATCATTTCGCAGGTCCCAATATGACTGCAGCACCTTACAACTACAACTATATATTTAAGTACATCATCATTGGGGACATGGGCGTGGGCAAGTCCTGTCTGCTGCATCAGTTCACTGAAAAGAAATGTAAGTAGCTAGAAAGCTGTCTAGCATTATGGAAACCTCTATTGCCTCTCTATCTCTTATCCACAGTTATGGCCAACTGCCCACATACAATTGGCGTTGAGTTTGGCACACGCATCATTGAGGTAGATGATAAGAAGATTAAGCTACAAATTTGGGATACGGCCGGTCAGGAACGTTTTCGAGCTGTGACACGTTCGTATTATCGCGGTGCAGCTGGTGCTTTAATGGTCTACGACATAACCAGGCGGTGAGTCATATCAGAACAAATGGGAATATCGAAATATTTGTTCTAATTATCTTCGTTTATGCAGCTCCACATATAATCACTTGAGCAGCTGGCTAACCGATACTCGTAATCTCACAAACCCTAGCACTGTGATCTTTCTGATTGGCAATAAATCTGATTTGGAGAGCACACGCGAAGTAACCTATGAGGAGGCTAAGGAGTTTGCCGACGAGAATGGACTCATGTTTTTGGAAGCCAGCGCCATGACGTAAATGTTCACTAATTTGTATATATATAATACTGTACTAAAGCCTTTTTATTCTTGCAATTAGTGGTCAAAATGTGGAGGAGGCATTTTTGGAGACGGCACGCAAGATCTATCAGAATATACAGGAAGGTCGCCTGGATTTAAATGCATCCGAATCGGGTGTACAACATCGACCTTCGCAGCCATCGCGGCCATCTCTCAGCAGCGAGGCAACGCATGCCAAGGATCAATGCTCGTGTTAAATGTATTAAATTTATCTATAAAAACACATACACACAAACACACACATATATAGTTATACAAATCGAAATTTAATTTTTAGCGCAACTCGTAATCATATTGATTTCTATTCTATCTAAAACCACATGCAATGAATAGAAAGAAAACAAAACAAAAATACAGTGTATGTAGTTAAATGATTGGATTAAGTCGTAAAAAAGTGTGAACAAACAACCAAAATATATATTGATGTCTCCGACATTCAGATATTTGTGTAATATCTAATAAGCTATTGATAGAAAATTGTATGATCTACATTCAACTGTTGCATTATGTTCTGATTGCATTGATCGTTGCAAAAAAAGCTATAAAACTGTTTTGATATTTACAAAAGAAAATGCACATGTTGGCAAATATCTCTTATTTCTATATATTTACTTTATACATTAAACATTTTACACATTTTCTTTGTTCTTTATATCACAATTTGTTAGCGATACTATGTATATATTATAATATGAATTTGTAACTTCTTTATGCTGATTTCGTTGAATGTTGTGTAAGCGTGCAGAAGTTCGAAGGCGAGCAATGTTATATGAATATTAAAGACGTATTAAATGCATAATGCTATAGGTAATAAAGAAAAACAATATTTATAAAGCCCTAGAAAAATATCAGTTTTCTTAATCAAATACTAACGAGTGCGCGCTTCAGCTTTGTTAGCTGTGCGCCAACGCAGGTGGCAACGCTGTCAACTTAAACAGGTAAATAATTAGTAAATTAACGCAGCAGTGTCTTATTTATTAATATAATTGGTAGTATAAATTGAAGAGTTTGAACCTTCCTAACTTAATTTTTTGTGTATATTATGAAAATATCCTTTTGTTGAAAATAGTGTGAAAATCTTTATAAAATTTCAGAAGTAAAATACTCAGTTCAAAGTTCAACGAGTGCGCGCATAGGCACAAGTGGCAGCACTGTTAACAGTAGCTCAAGAATACAAATGAATTGAATTAAATCACCTGCTGCAGTCAGCCAATTGCAGTAATTTATTTATTTGATTACGTATAAATATTAAACATGTATATCCATTTTACTAAATAATGCAAAAGTATTTTAAAAATGATACAAACTAAAAAGTCGAGTTCAAAATTAAATAATAGCGCGCTTAAGCGCGGGTGGCAACGCTGTTATCGATATCAACTCGTATATGCAAATTAATTAGTTTTAATTAAAGCAGCGTTGGTAAACCAAAAGCTGCTTTGACGACATGGCATAAATTCCGGTTTTTGTGACCTCGCTGTTATGATGATATCTGCATCGACCGTTAAGCAAACATAACATTAATCCACCTATGATGCAAATTAAGCGTCTGCTATGCAAATCTTGCACCCTCGGCACGGTGCTAATAGCAGGAGTATGGATGCTCGGTCTATTGGCCTACATGCACCATCTGCGTAGCACCATACCGGCGGCTGGCTGGCGTTTCAACAGTGCTGCAAATGCAACGCCCCGGGCAGAGCTGAGCTACCAGGCACAGGTAACAGCTGGCTGCTCGCCCGCCACACCGAACACCACACAGAGTATTGGGACAGGCGATCAGTTCGAGTTGTTGGGCGTGGTTCGCAACAAGCAGGACAAGTATATACGTGACATTGGCTACAAGCATCATGCGTTCAATGCGCTAGTCTCCAATAATATTGGACTATTTCGGGATGTACCCGATACGCGGCACAAGGTATGCGAGCGTGGGGAGACGCTGGAGTCAGAGCAGCTGCCACAAGCTTCGATCATCATGTGCTTCTATAACGAGCACAAGATGACACTGATGCGTTCCATTAAGACCGTGTTGGAGCGTACGCCCAGTCATCTGCTAAAGGAGATTATTCTGGTAGATGACAACAGCGATCTGCCAGAGCTGGAGTTCCATTTGTTGGCTGACCTCCATGCTCGATTGAAGTATGACAATTTGCGCTATGTTCGCAACGAGCAACGCGAGGGCTTGATACGCTCCCGTGTCATCGGAGCACGTGATGCCAGCGGCGATGTTTTGGTTTTCCTTGACTCGCACATCGAAGTGAATCGCCAGTGGGTGGAGCCATTGCTGCGTTTGGTCAAGGCAGAGAATGCAACGCTGGCGGTGCCTGTAATTGATCTTATCAATGCGGATACGTTTGAGTATACGCCCAGTCCGCTAGTGCGCGGGGGCTTTAATTGGGGTCTGCACTTCCGCTGGGAGAATCTACCGGAGGGCACGCTCAAGGTGCCGGAGGATTTCAAAGGACCCTTCCGCTCACCCACCATGGCCGGCGGGTTGTTCGCAGTGAATCGCTTGTACTTCCAGCACATTGGTGAATATGACATGGCTATGGATATCTGGGGTGGCGAGAACATCGAGATCTCATTTCGTGTGTGGCAATGTGGCGGTGCCATCAAGATTGTGCCCTGCTCCCGCGTTGGTCACATCTTTCGCAAACGTCGACCCTATACGGCGCCCGATGGCGCCAATACCATGTTGAAGAATTCGCTGCGCTTGGCTCATGTCTGGATGGATAAGTATAAGGACTTCTATTTGAAGCATGAAAAGGTGGCCAGAGACTATGATTATGGCGATATCAGAGCACGTCTACAGCTACGCGAGCGTCTGCACTGTAAGGACTTTGGCTGGTATCTGAAAAATGTTTACCCCGAGCTGCGCTTACCTGGAGATGAGTCCAAGAAGTCTGGATCGGCGCCAGTCTTTCAGCCGTGGCATTCGCGCAAGCGCAATTATTTGGACTCATTTCAGCTTCGTCTAGCGGGCACTCAGCTCTGCGCCGCTGTAGTGGCGCCCAAGGTGAAGGGCTTCTGGAAGAAGGGCAGCTCCTTGACGCTGCAAGTCTGCAAACCCCGTGCGCCCAATCAGATGTGGTACGAGACAGAGAAGTCGGAGATTATATTAGATAAGTTGTTCTGTCTGGAGGCGGCGGCCGATACGTTGGTCATCATTAACAAGTGTCACGAAATGCTGGGCGATCAGCAATGGAGGCATACACGTAACGCCAACAGTCCCGTCTACAACATGGCCAAGGGCACCTGTCTGCGTGCCTCCGCTGCGGAGGTGGGTGCTCGGATCAGCTTGGATCTGTGCTCCAAGGCGGATGGCGTTGGTGGCGCCTGGGACATTGTGCTCTTGAAACAGGAGCCGCAGCAGCAGCCAAAGCTGGACAAGCAGTTGTGAGCCTTACAGGTGGTATAAAGCAATAATTAGACTGAATTTGTCTATATAGATACAGTAAAATAAGCTCTTGATATCAGTTTATTAAGTTTTGAATAGTCAGTATTTTTTGCACAAAACTGTTTGGTTTGACGCAATCAATGACAAAAGTCAAAAACAAATCGAAATATTAAGTATTCAAGTGATTGAAGTGTTAACGTACGATTCCAATATCTCCAATACAGATATATATTTATGTAGATATCAATTAGTTTTGTAAGGGTTATAGTATGGACGAAAAGCAAGTAATGTATTCATTATCAATATTCAGTATCAATAAAGCTTTCGTAATTTATATAAATTTAAATTCTATTTATTCGCAATGTAAAAATTCCGAAATAGTGGCAACGCTATGGCAAAACTGTTATATGATGTCGGCAAATGGTGTCTTACTGTTTTTTGCAAATTTCTTTCACAGATGTTCTTATTGCTCTTATGTTGATTAATTTCATTCTCAATGATACGCTAAAACAGCTTTGGTAATATATAAAATATTATGTATGCACTTATTTAGATTAAATATTGTAGGTTTGATTAAATAAAAGTAGGCAGCGCAGTAATCACAACATATGCTAGCACGTGTCATTCCACTATTTGCAATTTGTTCCAGCTAGTGTTTTAGTGCCGTCCTTTACCAACACTAGTTCAGTTGCGCGTCGTTCGTCCAAAGTGGCGCGTTAATTAATAAATTGTTTAAAACAAAGTGTTGAAGATCTACTGAAAGCCGTTAAATGGAAGGAAAATCAATAGTTAGCAGGCAGGAGCCGGTGCTGCGCATAGGTGAGTAAACAAAAACTTCGTATTTTAATGATTAATTATAGCAAAAGCCTCCGCTGAACAGATACAAATGCGCGTCGCAATTTTATCAAATTCCACAAGAAGCTCGGCGAGGTAAGTGGAAATTGTTTAGCTTTGATTTAATTGACTTAATTAACATATTAGAATGTACTTGCAATAGAAACCGAGCACAACCGTCAGATTTTATGATCAAACCGATTGCTATACAGTGCACGGCAGCGATGACTGCGAGCAGGTGGCCAAAATTGTTTACAAATCCACGGCATATGTGCACAAGCTGCTGCCGGACGACAAACAGGAGACGCTGCAGTATGTGGCCATGTCCAAGGTTAACTTCGAGCTGGCCGTGCGTGAACTGCTACTCGTGCGCAATTTGCGTGTCGAGGTTTATGTTAAACACGATGATTGGCAGCTGGAATACCGCGGCTCTCCGGGCAATCTGCTTCAATTCGAAGACATTTTGTTTGCCAATAAGGAGGTGCTCGTGGGCAACAGCATAATGTCGCTGCAAATCAAATTGGAGGGCGGTACACAGCGGCGTGTGGGCGTGGCCGCTGTCGAGCAAAACGATTGCACATTCCAGCTGTTCGAGTTTGTGGACGATGACTTCTTTACCGAACTGGAAGCCACCGTGGTGCTGTTAGGGCCTAAAGAATGCCTCTTGCCGGCAGCGGATGGCGAATACGCGGCTGTAAAGGCCTTGCTGGAGCGCAATGGTGTCATGAGTACGGTGTCCAAACGGGGCAGCGCCGCTGAGCGCAATGATCTGCTGCAGGACCTGAATCGCCTGCTGCGCTTTGCCAAGGGCCAGCAGGAGGATGCGAACGGACTGAAGGAACTGCAAATGAAATTGGCAGCCGAGGCATTGCGTGTGGCCATCAAGTATTTGGATTTAATTAACGACGCCGGCAACTTGGGGCACTACGAACTCAAGCAGTTGGATCTGAAGCGGTGTGTAGAAAATAAAATCGTTAATGTAAAAATGAATTAAAATATTTGTTTTAGCTTTGTGCATTTGGACTCCGCTGCTGTGGCCGCTCTCAATTTAATGCCTAATCCGGGCACACATCCATCCATGCCGTCGTATCGCTGGCAGAGCATATTGGGCGTCCTGGATCATTGTCGAACGCCGCAGGGCCATCGTCTGATGGCTCAGTGGGTGAAGCAGCCGTTGCGCAGCTCAGAGATACTCAACGATCGACATAACATCGTGCAGTGCCTGCTGGAGTCGCCAGAGACACTAGACACGCTGAGTCTGGACTATTTGAAGCGTATACCAGATATCCTAATGCTCACCAAAAAACTGATGCGTCGCAAGGCAAATTTACAGGATCTATTTCGCATTTATCAGGTCATTTTGCGCACGCCGAAAATTCTACAGTTGCTGCTGACTCTGGGAAACAGCACAGTGCAGAGTGTGCTCTGTGCGCCCTTCAAAAGTTTTCTGGAAGATCTAACAGGTCTGAAGCAGATGGTAGAGCAGGTGGTTGACTTTGAGGCCATTGAGAAGGGCGAGTATTTGGTAAAGAGCACATTCGATAGTCGCCTAATGAATCTACAGGACACCATGACAGAGTTATATGGCAAAATGGAAAAAATACGCAACAAATGCAGCGAGGAACTTGATCTGGATGGCAAACTCGTCAAGTTGGAAAACGTAGCCAAGTTGGGTTATCATTTGCGCACCACAATCAAAGATGATTCGGTGCTGCGCAAGAACAAAAACTTTCGTATTGTGGATGTGATTAAGGGCGGTGTACGCTTCACCTCCGACAAGCTGGAAGGCTATGCAGATGAGTTCACCAGTTTCCGCACGCGTTACGAGGAGCAACAGCAGTCAATTGTCGAGGAGATCATCCAAGTGGCCGTGGGCTATGCAGCGCCGCTAACTTCATTAAATAATGAGCTCGCCCAGCTGGATTGTTTGGTCAGTTTTGCCATAGCAGCACGTAGCGCTCCAACGCCCTATGTGCGGCCAAAGATGCTGCCCGAGGGCGCTGGCCAGCTGCTGCTCGAGGATGTGCGTCATCCGTGCCTTGAGCTGCAAGAGCATGTTAGCTTCATAGCCAATAGCGTGGATTTTGAGAAGGGTACGACATCTGTATCGCTCTTTTAACTACCTTATAACTGACATTTGTTTTGCGACAGATATTTGCAACATGTTCATCATAACCGGTCCAAATATGGGCGGAAAAAGCACCTATATACGCTCTGTGGGCACAGCTGTTCTAATGGCCCATGTTGGCGCCTTTGTGCCTTGCAGTGTAGCTAACATCAGCATGGTTGACTCCATACTGGGACGCGTTGGCGCCAGTGACAATATTATTAAGGGCCTGAGCACATTTATGGTGGAGATGATTGAAACTTCTGGCATTATCAGGGTGAGTCACGAAACTTCTATATCAATATAAACACATCTTTGTCCTGCTGTTTTGAAATATATAAATCATGCTCTAATTGCCAAAATTGAGATCAATATTTATAAATATAGACGCATGGCTCCGCCGCCACCACCATACAAATCTGTTCCATTTTGGTTCTGGGAGCTCCAATTCAATAATTATTGAATTGGTTCTCTGTTAAGTTCTGACCTACGCCTGGCTTACCTTTCCAAGACCTTGCCAACTGTGTTCTAAGCACGGCTCTTATTTTATGCTTTCTAAAAGCCCAATCCAAATGTTTATTCTGTTGGTTGGAATTTACAAATCCCTGCAATCTGTGTTCCCCGACTAGAATTTAAACAAGTCGTAAATGAGTATTCTTAAAGCCAACTTTATTATACATCAAGTTTAATATATGTTTTTTAAATGCAGACCGCAACGGATAAATCGCTGGTGATCATCGATGAGCTGGGACGCGGCACATCCACCTATGAGGGCTGCGGCATAGCCTGGTCCATAGCCGAGCATCTGGCCAAGCAAACAAAATGCTTTACACTTTTTGCTACGCACTTCCACGAGATAACCAAGCTGGCCGAAACGCTGTCCACGGTGAAGAACTGTCACATGGCTGCCGTTGCAGACGACGATAACTTTACGCTGCTGTACCAGGTGCGACCTGGTGTAATGGAGAAGAGCTTTGGCATACAGGTGGCACGACTGGCCAATTTTCCCGAGCACGTGGTGCAAAATGCCCAAGAGGTGTACAACGAATTCGAGGATGAGCACGCGGGCAAACAGAACGAGGCGGATAAAGCGCTGTTGGACAAAATACAAGTGGCCATAGAGCAGCTATCGACGGCTGGCAACAATACTGAGATCAATGTGGAGGATCTGACACAGCTGGTGGCACAATTTGCCAAGGATATTAAGCAGCTGGACAGTGATTATTTTAAGTCTGTGTTAGCCAGCAGCGAGGCCTAGGCCAAGCCGTGCTGATTAGCTGTAAAGAAGAGATTATAAATTCTATATAGTATTCATAAACAAGAGCCTTCCATCCATCAAGTCTTATACATTTATTATTTAAACATTTATTGGTCTTTTGTTTCTTATTAGCTGTAAAATTGTTTTTTTTTTTCTTTTTCATTTAGTGAATAAGATTTGTGTCTCAGTTTTAAACCGTTTCTGTTTTAAACACCAAAATTTTGCCGCACTAATGCATTGCGCTAATGAAATCATAAATAATTTCTTTAATTTACTTTTTAAATTTTATCTTTAGCGTTTGTTTAGTTAAGTGGACTTTTTTGTATTACATATATATATATATATATATATATATATATATATGTATATATATATAGATAGTTATGTTTAAACATGGCTGAATGTTCAATTTCAATTCCATGCGAATTACCATTTGTGGTTTTATTATTACATCTTACAACGTTTAAACACTCCAAAAAATAAATATTGTATTAGTTCGCGTAAACGGTTTAAGTTTTAGTGTTTTGTTTTTATATTTTTATTATTTATTAGTTGTAAATTACATTTAATAGTTAACTGTTTGTGTTTTTAAAATTTTCCGTCTTCATTTTGATTTCAATAATGTTTCAAATTCCATAAGAAACTGAATTTAAAAAACATCTCACCCTCGCGCACACACTTTCGTACTTTCGCACGCTGCTCTGCCATCAAAATTTTTACTTTTCTATGCATAAATTCATCAAATGTTTCGAAATACGATACAAAGGCAATTAGGTTGGTATTTTGTGTTTTGTTTTTGGTATTTTTTGTTGTTGCTTGTGTAAATGTTGTTGAATTTTGCTTAGCTAACAAAAATCGGTACAGTTATTGTGCAACTTAACTGAGGTTCTTGAAATAAGTATTGCATACTTTTCAGGTGGTCCTATTTAAAAAATACCCCTGCAGTAGGATAGGCTGAGATTTGGATGCTGTTTTAAGGACTTTTTTTTTAACTATGGCAATTTTGGGTATTGTTGAAATTGGTTGATAAAGTTTTGGTTATGAAATAGAGGCCGTAATTTGATTGCTTGAAAACATTATCGGGTATTATCTCCTTTTAAAAGCAGGTATATTATAGTTTTGACTATAATTAATTAGCTTTGGGCTTCAGCTCTTAACTATATTGTTTATGAATCGACATCGGACCACTCTATATATTATATATACTTCTACACCTTTTCTCAATCTTTATTTAGAGTTCTCAATGTCTTTCTGCAAGGGTCTTTAGATATTCGACTCCACCGAAGACAACTTTCATTTTAGTGCATATTTTCATTATTTAAAAAACAAAATACAATAAAATCGTAACAAATACTTGGTACATTATTACAATACATATACAAAAAACCATATATAAACTTTGAATAGCCGTTAACAAAATATCTATATAAACATTGAATACACCACGCCTCATATATATAATAGTATATAAATATAATAATAATATTTATCTTGTTAAAAAATCCGTTTGATTGTTTACGAAAAAGCTAATGAATTTTGCAAGACGTCTCCATGTACATTATATATATATATTTATCGGTTGGGCCAAAGGGACGAAATTGTGTATTTAGTGTCTCTCTGTGTGTGTGTGTGTATCTCATCTAAGTTTACATTCCATCGCGTTTGTAAAAAATCAACTAATTTTATAAAATTACAAAAATAATTGTTATTTGAATTATTTTTGTTTACACTTTGTTTTGTTTTCATAGTTTTAGTTAATATTTGGCATTGGTATTTACCGTTGTTTAAACTATCCAAAATAGTTAATGAAACGTGGGCGTTTTAGCTAGTATAAAACTTAAATTTCATTCCAAAGTTTTTCATAAGAGCTAAAGAATTCGGTTTGAAATTATATAAATTAGGAAATAGAATTTAGGAGCTGCTTGTAACATATTCCTCTCCCTTTTCGCATTTACCTCCTCCTTAACATTTGGCGTATTTTATAAGTCTAAAAGTTGAAATTTGTTTTTGGATTTTCTTTTTGTTGTTGCTAAACTTGCTTAAGATTGTGCTTTGTTTTGGTTTTTTGTTGTTGTTAAACATTTGACTAGAATTGTACTACACAATAGTTTACAATCTAAAAACAAACAGATCGCATTAGTATATATACTATATATATGTATATATATGTATAGATTGTATAAACTAGACGCGCATAAAGCAGCGCGTCAAGTAAAACATCAAAATTATGGTCAGCGGCAGCAGCTGAAGCGTCAGACCCAGCCGCGAGGCGTTGCCGCAATAGGTGAAAAGTTCCTCCTAGAAACAAATGTTTATATAATAAAATATTTATGTAAAGCCAATATCATGTGCTTCACTCACATCCTCGTGCTCCGTGAAACACTCCTCGATGCGTCGTCTATCGTAGAAACTCATATTTAGTTTGTAGCAGGGAAATTCCTCCTCGTAGTCGGTTATGCGCTGTGGTTCGGTGGTTAGGCGTACACTGCGAGATGGCATCAGCACCTTGACCACCACCATTACCAGATTCGAGTTGGGGATTTTCTTAACCAGAAACGGACGCGTCGATGGCACATCTATGATGTCATTGATGCCCACCAAGGCGGAGGGTTGCAGCGCGTATAGTGTGGAGCGCATGTCGCACGGCTTGTAAATCGGTTCCGGCTCGGGCTCATGGAATATCGCCTCTCCATCGTCGCCATCATCCTTGGGCTTTACCGCCGATGGTGAATTAATATTGTCCACGGCAACATACTCATCCTCAATATTGTCCAAGTACTCCAGAACTAATCGACCATAGAAATTATATTTTTAGTTAATGAAAATTGGGTCTGGCTTTAATTGTGTACTTACAGGGCGCTCCATCCACCCACCATTTAACTCTTTGGTAGTGCCAGAATACCTGCGCTATAAGCCACTTCCAAAGTAGACCCAGCACTTGCAGCGGCTGTCATGTATGAAGAAATTATATAGATTATCTAGTCTTTCAAGGAAGAGTCGTAGTCTAGTCTTTCAAGGAAGAGTCGTAGTCTAGTCTTTCAAGGAAGAGTTTAGTCTAGTCCCTCAAGGAAGAGTCTAGTCTAGTCCCTCAAGGAAGAGTCTAGTCTAGTCTTTCAAGGAAGAGTTTAGTCTAGTCTTTCAAGGAAGAGTCTAGTCTAGTCTTCCAAGGAAGAGTCTAGTCTAGTCTTTCAAGGAAGAGTCTAGTCTAGTCCCTCAAGGAAGAGTCTAGTCTAGTCTTTCAAGGAAGAGTCTAGTCTAGTCCCTCAAGGAAGAGTCTAGTCTAGTCTTTCAAGGAAGAGTCTAGTCTAGTCCCTCAAGGAAGAGTCTAGTCTAGTCTTTCAAGGAAGAGTCTAGTCTAGTCTTTCAAGGAAGAGTCTAGTCTAGTCTTCCAAGGAAGAGTCTAGTCTAGTCTTTCAAGGAAGAGTCTAGTCTAGTCCTTCAAGGAAGAGTCTAGTCTAGTCCCTCAAGGAAGAGTCTAGTCTAGTCCCTCAAGGAAGAGTCTAGTCTAGTCTTTCAAGGAAGAGTTTAGTCTAGTCTTTCAAGGAAGAGTCTAGTCTAGTCTTCCAAGGAAGAGTCTAGTCTAGTCTTTCAAGGAAGAGTCTAGTCTAGTCTTTCAAGGAAGAGTCTAGTCTAGTCTTTCAAGGAAGAGTCTAGTCTAGTCCCTCAAGGAAGAGTCTAGTCTAGTCTTTCAAGGAAGAGTCTAGTCTAGTCTTTCAAGGAAGAGCCTAGTCTAGACCCTCAAGGAAGAGTCTAATCTAGCCTCTCAAGGAAGAGTCTAGTCTAGACCTTCAAGGAAGAGCCTAGTCTAGACCCTCAAGGAAGAGTCTAGTCTAGTCCCTCAACCAGTCTAGTTTTCCCCAAACTAAATATCAAGACTTTCACATCGTTAACTCACATGCAGTAAACTGTGTCCTTCGCTGAGGGTTGTTGGCTCCACTTTACATAGTTCCTGGTAGTCATAGACCTCGATGCTTTTGAAGATGCCCTTCTGAACCATGGCGGCCATGACATCGCCATGGAATTCGCCAAAGAATTTGCCCGTCGTATTTATGTTTTGGCCCACGACAATGTACGCATTATTATCGATTACAGCACAATCGATGCCGTCATCCGTGCAGATGGGCAGGCATTTGTCGCACTGTTCATGGGAAAAGAAAATCGAAGATCAATTTGATTAGTTAAGTAGTCTATACTCACATTATCCACGGCTGTTATGTTGAAGAAGCGTTCCCACATGCGCGCATGTGAGAACTGGAAACCGACTACGCAGGCGGGCGCCTCTTTGCCGCCATCTCGCGGAAAGATGGCGTGCGAGGCGGTCACCTTAAGATCGCTGTCTTCGAGCGGATCGTTGTAGTGCTTGACCGAGTAGACAAAGCTTTCGGTATTCTCCTGATGATGCTGCAGTATAGCGCTCTTGTACCAGGTCTCATCAATGGCTGTCGTATGGTAATCGCCGAATTCCTGATCCGTATCCACCTCCACCTCGCCAAAGATGAACTGCCAGCGTGTCAAGCCGCTCATGGTGGCCACAAACCTCAGTGTGGCGCCAAAGCGTTCAATTAGCTGTCGCTCCTGCTCGTTCTCAAACTTCCACTCGCCGTAGCTAAAGTTCGTCACCTTGGCATCGAAGATTAGCAGATGGACCAGCTCCTTGTTGCAGTAGTAGGCGTCATCGCCGAGCGTCTTGCGACCACAGTTCACTGAAATTGAAGGCGAGTTAGGGAGGATGTTCGATTGAGTGTGCCTGTAATGCTTACAGTCATCCTTGTCATCCCAATCGGATTCATCTTCGGCATACTGCTCTGGCCATTTCCAGTCGGGTTTCATCATCTTCTCCAAGAACTCGCGCAGCTCCGCTTCAGGCGTCTTGAATTCGTGTCCCTCCAGGTAGTGATACTTGCAATAGACCCTAGAAGTTGGGTTCAATTCGTAAGTCATGCTCATCACTTTGTATTACTTCCACCTACCAATCAGGATGCACTTTCCAGTTCTCGCCAATGAAGAATTCCGATATGTTGACCTTCATGTGTTTATTCTTGTCCACCTCATCGCCCACCTTGATCCAAGTCTTGCCATACTCACTGGGCATAACGATGCCCAGAGTAAAAGGTGTATTGGGCAAGGGAGCAAAGAAATAATCCTGTTTCTCCTCCGACACGCGCCGCATCTTATCATAATGGAACTTAACCGTAATGTCTCGAAATTCCTTGGCCTCATTGTGGACCATGGAGCTGCGTATGTTCAGAATGGATTCACCCGGTTCGCGGGGATTCTGATCCTCAAACAAATGCTCCACTTCGGTAAAATCAATGCTATTATAGTTGGGATTCATTTTGTTGTTGGACTGCAAAAAAGTCAATATAATTCAGGTTTTCGCTGCATTGGCAAAGAAGGGAGCTTACACCAAGGGGCCGTAAGTCCGGATGCAGCAGCACATAGCCATTGTTGGACACCACAAATGAGTAGCCATTGACACCCAGCTGCAGGGTAAAACGTTATTTTCAGAAGATTCGCTACTTAAACTACCTTGGCGACTTACCTTATAGGGTAACGTCAATTTGTCTATATCCTCGACGGGCACATCCGTGCCAGCAACGCCCAGGAGACGTGCGCGCCTTCTAGTGCTGTTTTCGTGCCGATAGGAGCGATCAAAGGCGGGCACACCGACGGCTATCATAAGACGCGGTCGTCGTTCATTTGAGTTCAAAGGATCGTACTGCAAGGAGGAAGTCCTTCGTTAAATAAGTTCGGTTACCTTTTGATTGCCACGCGAACAAACCGTTTTATCTGTAAACGCATGCGTCCAGGTGGGCGGATGCTGTTCATTTTGCAGCACCAGAGGCGTGGCTATGACATCGACATACTTGAGCACCTCCTCGTGTACCTCATCCAGGGTTTGAACATGCGAGTAGTAGCCACGATTCAAGCAAGCCATCCACTGAATCTCCCGCACCTTGGTCACCTCCTTGCCCAGCAGATAAGTAAAGAGGCGCACATTCATGCGTGAAGTGCCGTTCTCTCCATTGCCCCAGTTGTACTTCTCGAAGACGTCCGTAGTATTGCCCGCCACGCCATCGGTGACCAGCATTATGGCCTGGTTGCACGTGGAGGTCTCGTTGCATCTTCGCTTCACGTAGTAGTTGCGTAGTATTTGGAAGGCCTGTTCGTAGGCGAGCGTCAGGTTCGCATACCCCTCGGGATCGTCCAGTTCGGCTATGGCCGAATTGAAGACATCGATATTCTCTGGTGTGGCCTGCACCAAAGCGTCCTTGAAGCAGGGTATGATGCCCTGCACCTCGTTCGAGTACCGAAAAATGGTGAAGAAATCGTTGTTGGAGAATGTGTCCAATATGCTGCGAATGGTGAACTTGGCCACATGATGGCGATGGCCAGTCATTGAGCCCGAGTGATCCAGCAGTATGACAATATCCTTGGAGCATGTGGCCGTCTCTATATACCACGAGCGCTTGCGACAGTCGTACGTATCTGCATCCAGTTTATTGACCCGCGAGTCGTACCACTGGGCGGCGGGATAGTGACGCAATATGCCCGTATCCGAGCCGAAATATTGCCAAGACAGGGCAGGATCGGACTGGTAATTCTGGCGGAACACCTCATCTAGATACTCCGACCATTGTATAGTCTTCAGCACATGCGGCGCACGGTCCCAGACATTGGAGGGCACGTGCACCGAGCTGTGCTCCGTGTCCACCGAAATATTGTAGAAATGTGTATCCGGATTCAACATCATTTCGCGATACATAAAGGCATACTTCTGCACATTGGCCTCCAGCTCCTCCGAGCTGTTGCCATTGAACGGCGAGTACTTGCTCGAGTAGTAGGTGAAGTTGGCCTCCGCATAGGTCAGATTGAAGTCGAAATTCTCATTGACGCTCTCAGCCTTCTCCTGTATGCAGCGCACAGCGTCCATTTTACGCGCCAGCATTTTACCCACGTTCGCAGTTATCGATTTGATCAGTTCGGTGCCATTCTTGAGCTCAACCCGAGCATTGTATTCCTTGTATTTCTCTTTGATCTGCTGCGATTTGGTTATCTTCTGGGCCAGCAGGAATAGCTCGTCTCCGAACTGGGTTGCCCATTTGCCGACGCTGCAAAAGCAAAAAAACGCGCAAGCATTAGAAAACTAAATGAAATTTATATTATTTGATATAATTTAGAAGAAGAAATGAGAGCTATTGACACATGAGCTGCCCAGCCAAAGTGTGGGAGAGCTAATAATGGGTGTGAAGATAAAGGAAATAGAAGAGATCTTTGGTGTGAATATCAACCACTAGGAAGTTAAGTGGAGGAACCACAAGTCCTTAGGCTATGACTACTTCAAGCAGACGAACTACCCCTAAAATATTTGCTTATATAGCTTATGGACTCCACCAAATGAAAGTTTCAATAATTATGGACGAAGTACTGAATATCAATCAATATAAATATATATGCTTTATGGTACAAGAGTTGCTCGATTTCTATATTCAAATGTTTCATTTCGCCCACTCTGGGTTTTTCTTTGCCATACATCTATTTCTTCTTCCTCGCACTTCCTTTTAAATTCAAATAGTCTGGCAACGCCAATGGGTAAACGTCACAGCTGCCCCGAAAAGAAATGTCAACCACCTGTCGACGTGCAAGTACAGCAAGGCCACTAATTTAATTAGCTCACATGTCAGACACGAGTGTGTTGGTAACGAGCGCGGCTAAAGAGGTGTTCATGTGTGTGCGTGTGTGCGTGTGTGCCTGTGTGTGCGCTAAAGAAAGTAGCCAAGCCAAAGGTAGCCTAAGCAGCAGCGCAGTCAACGCTGCGACGTAGGCAACGAACATAAACAGCTGTGCTTGCCGTTTGCTGAAGTATGGGTGTGTCAGAGTGGGAGAGAATAAGTGGCAGAGCGGCTGTGTATGTGTGTGAGAAATCAACAAGTGCCCAGCCAATGCGCGCGCAGACTTTCGCTAAAAGCTCTTAAATGTGAAAAGCTCTTAAGGAGAATATGCTCTTAAGTAGAATATGCTCTTAAATTAATGAGGGCGCTATAAAAACAATTATATTAGTCGAACGCAATTAAAACTACCATAACAATACATATGTATAAAAATATATTTAGATTTATAATACTTTAATTTTGTGAATGTGGAAATGATTCATGTAAAAATTCATTATTTTCGGAAATACAATAAAGACATATAGATAATATATAAATACATTATAGGAGAAAGATCATTTATGAGTTCAATTTGTATATATATTAAAAATTTCAAATATCTATAGTTTTAAATAATGTATTACTAGCTGCATTTATATATTTAATGTTATATTTAAATAAAGAGAAAATAAATATTAATTGATGAAAATTACATATATTATAATTATAATACAGAAAATAAAGATTAGGTTAATGAGAATTACAGTGAAGAGTCATATTATAAAGTAAAAGAATTACAGACGTAAAGAGAGAGAGAATAAGACATCAAGGCAAGAGAAAATGTGAAGAAAGTTTGGGCAAAGATAAAGAGAGGAAGAATAAACGAGTGGGCACAGTGGATCGCGCAAGAAGCAGAATTACAGATCGACATTTAATACAACTTTTGGGAGATCAAGGAAAAGGGGCGAACAAGAATAAGAATTAGGAATTCAGTAAGGACAGACATAGACAAGAGTAGGAGAAGATTGTAAAAGAGCAAGAGGTGATTTTAAAGGTAATGAGAAAACTAAAAATAAGTAAATGGGTAGCAATAAATGAGCTGAAGCTAACAAAAGATTAGTAAAGTAGTAAAAATAGAAAGTGCTACCAAAGCGGAGTTATGGGAATGCAGTCCAGTGATATTTGATCAAATCGACACGAAGAAAAGACAAACTTGATAGAAACACGCAAACATTTCACACTTGCCAGCTCGCTAGAGGTTTACTTGCCTAAATCAGCCACGCTATGCTATGAGAATCACATGGAAAGGCGCTCTACACTACTTATTTGTACAGTTTTATGAGGCAAAACAACTGTTAGCAGTGCGAAAGTCATTTGTTTCAATCATCCATGCGCATAGCCAAACCAAAACCTCTCGTCTCTCTCTACTGAAATTTGAGAGCTCTCGTTCCATCTCGCTCGGCTCGCTGTCTTTCTCTTTCTATGCTATTGTGGCAGTGCCCCACTGGCGCCTTTGCCGCTTTGCCTTTGACATAGTTCAAGTGCCGCCCGCCGAACTCTCAGAACTCAAGTTTAATTGTTGTAGTTTTCTTGTTGCTGTTGCTGTTTTGTATTTCATTTTGGAGTTGTTCAATTAAATTTGCAACATTCCTTTGTGGCCAGCTGTGCTGGTGGTGCTGGAACAAACTCAGTCGTTATCTGCCACCGAATCGGACGACTCTTGTCTGGCTCGTGGGCGTTTGCTAGTTGAGTTTGCCAACTTTTTGCCTTTGTGTTGGAATTCTTTACATATCCACATATATATTTACTTTGTTTCATTTTTACGACTATTTTTGGGTTGGTGTGTGCAAATTTACATTGATTTTTTTATGGTCATTGTCTATTAATGTGCGCAATGCTTCAGTGCGAACAAAAAGAAGCGCATAAAATATTGCATTTGATATTCCACGAACACATAAATTATATATTATTTTGCCACTTAGTCACATTAAAGCTACATTTTGTGCTGTTGCCAGCAATAAATAAATTTGGTTTAAACTTGAATTTCGTTGGCTTCGAATTGGTCGAAGTTGAAATGAATTTATGTGGCCCACTTTGTTGTAGCCAACTCTTGAGCGAGAAAAGTGAATTTTAGTATAAATTAATGGAAAATTAGGCCTAAATGCCCGAGGCTTGGTTTCATTGTGGAGATAGAGCGATATGGCAAAGGTCAAATGGATTGGCAATTGATGAAAACTTGCTGGAGATGAGAAACGAGAAGTGTGGATTAGGCTTATGGATATTAGTAAAAAGTTGACTTGGCTCTTTGGGTATACGTAACTAGAGATATATAAGTAGATTATACGAAAAGTGAAAGGATTACTTAAGGATGTCTAACAATTAGATGGTATTAAGCAAGTGTGGCTTACGACTAGCTGAAACCAGAATGAGGGCATCAGATATGTTCAATATAAATATGAAAGGAACTAGTATTCGGGTTAAATTTCGTTCCGTCATTCAGTAAAGGTATCTAGAAGAAGTAGCGCTGTCTCACTCTTTCAAAAAATGTAAAAGCATGATCACCTTTTGGCCTCGACTAAGGCAATATTTTTTTCGAATCTAAAGACCACAATCAGGTTAGAACGCAATTATATTAAGCAAAGATGGAAAGAGAAAATTGAAAATAATTGACACAATAAGTATACAAAAAGGTACTAAAAAACCTCCAAACACAAAAGCATGAACCCCTTTAGCCTGGAATATGAGTTCTACAGACCAAATGAATCTGGTATGCCCAATCTAATAAGGTCACTATCCTCAGTTATTGCGGCTATCTATAAGTACAAATGATAATTCTCGCTACAATCGAAGATATAAATAGGACTACGAAAAGCAGACCTCCACTCCAAGCATACAAAACAATGAAATCTTTGGAATAAGCTGTACAGACCGAAAGAATTTAAATTTCAGAATCTAAAGATCGTTAAACGACGCAATATACCAAAAAGAAAGTCAGTTACTAAAATGGCTCCATTCCCTTTTTAATATCTTGAGATTACTTCGATGCAAGATTACAACAGCTGAAATTCTATAGTCAACTTTCTACTTCGCTGAAATAAACCACAGAATGGAATAGATCGCTTTGATTGCCTTGGCTATTCTGAAGAAAATTTAAACTTGATTTAATTAAATAAGGCCTAAATATTGACGCAGAATGTGAATGAAAATTATGAAAAATATTTAACTATATTGCTTAAAATTTGAATCAAGCTAAATTTCTTATGCCATTCAGCAAGCAACCGCTTTGTTCGAATATAATATATATACAATATCTTCTACATATAGAAACAAATATATATACACTATTTTTCTTACATATACACACATGAATATTCCCATCGTTTTCTATGCAAAATTTACTTTTAAAATATCAAAAACAAAAAACTGTCAAGCTCTAAATTATGATGCCCGACTTGAGCTGATTAAATTAAATATTTTTTATTGTTGCTAAGATATAAAATTATATTTATTATATATTATAAACAAAAACAAGCAAATTGCTTTCAGCCTGGTATTCCAACTGATGATATCATAGGGCATTTGGCAAGCCCCAAAATTATTATTAATCTGGCCAAATGCATAAATTGCTAAGTAATTATTACGTATACTATATTTTTATAATCCATTTGGAATATGAAGCATTAGCTAACGGTAATTCGTGGTCAGTGCATGTCAAAGTGTAATATTTAAACAATGTTAATTATATTGACTATTTGATTTAATTACATTGGCCCGCTGCTAATTGTATTTGCTTGTCCGTTTAGGCCAAGTGACACGCCTTTGCCTTTGCTGTTGCCTTTGCCCTTGCCAAACCTTTTTTCGCTTTTTGACAGCGTCAAATTAATAGAACGTCGACTTTTGAGGACATAGGGAGAGAGAGTTAGACGAAATGCCCCAATAAAATATGCATTACGCGTAAATAGACGTCTGTAGTACCTGCTGCGACTCCTCCCCAGAGCCAACATGTCAGACAAATAATTCTTTTATGTGACTTATGAAGATAACGAAAAGCAGGAGAAATAAGTAGCTAAAAGGTCGACGGCAGCTGCCGAAATTCTGGGCAAATACGCTGACGCACACACATAAGCAACCACACACACACACACACGCACACACACATGCGAGCGCTAAAATGAAAATTGGAAACAAAAGACAAAAGCGCCTAAAACACGCAACGGCCAAAAGGCAGCATAAAAAACGAGCGAAAATATTACAATAAGTTCGAGGCGACTTTTTGAGGCGCTACAAGCGTTGCCAAAAGGGGAAAACCACTAAAATTAAAGTAGGTATATAATATGAAAATAAATTAAAATTTTTATGTGGAACTAAGTTACGTTAATTAAATGTTAACCTAGTTACGATATTCATGTGATTTAATAAGGTTTTTGTTGCTGATAGAAGCTGCCAATCTAATGCCGCCTTATATACTAAAGTTTTGTAGAAGTATCTGTTTTTGTAATAAATATATATAGTACAGAGATAGCTAGACTTAAGCCTTAAATAATATGTCTTTAGATTACATTTCAAAGTGTAACCAAAAGTTTTAACAAGTTTTTATGTTGATTGAGTTACTATTAGAATAATATCTTATAAATGCTAAAGTTTAATTATTGCTTTGAAGTATTAAGCTATATTTAGATTAAGCTAAACCAATTACTATACTAACTAATTTCTTAACTATATTAATGTGGCAAGTGGTTGGTTGGTTGGTTGGAAATGCTCTCAAGTTGAATTGCTAATGGAATATTGTCTTGAAAATATAGTAAATGTTTAATGTATAGTTTTTCATTGCCTTTCACACTCGAAAGCTATAGATTATTTAAAGGACAAACTTGAACCAAATTTAATTTGAAATGTCATGAAATTATTGGAGTTGCAGGGGCTTATAGTAAGCTGAGAGATCTAATTAAGAGGCTTGCAACTTCGCTGCAAGTGAAAAGATAACTTAGATAACATAGTTAATAACAAAAGATAACATAGTTAAAGACTATTCGCATAATTAAAATTAGAGTTAGTTTATAACTAGTAGCTGATATAAGTATAGCAATCATTTTATTAGACTAATATTGAAATATTAAATATATTTACTATACAACTAGGTTTAAGTTCATCTGAGTTAATTTGTGAATGTGAATAGATTTACATTAAGTTTATCAGAGTTAAGTTATTGTAGTTAGTAACTAAAATAAGCCTAAGTTGGGTATTTTGATATTGAAACATTTTCTAAAGAATGTGTAAAGAATGTGCATGTTAATTTTAGTTAAGCTTAAGCGTATTTAGTTGACAATTGATTAAATCACTGCAAGGGTTTTAGTTTATGGTTATTACAATCTAATCTTGTAACTTTACTGAATTTATGTAGTTATTTGGCAGCTAATGTTGAAATATGAAAAAGCCAAACAAAGTTGAGCTAAGGATTGTAGAGATTGATTGAAGTATAAGCTTAAGTTTATTAAGTAACAAATACTAGCACTGCAGGGCACTGGTTTATGCTTTAACGCAATCTTATTTTTATTGTCTAGATTTTTTAACTAAAGATCAGTTTTTAATATTCACACAGTTTATGTAATACATACTTATTTTTGCAACTATCAAGATTAGTATTCATGGTATGTGGTTAGTATAAATATGGCATACAAGGTGGTAAACGTTTGATTACTTTAATATTAAATTTAACATTTAAATAAGTAAAACATCTTAATAAAACTATTTTGCCAATATATTAAGGATTGTTGGCGTTGATTTAAGTGGAAGTTAAAAAATTGGGTTAACTTAAGCTCATGAAAATAAAAGGTTACTAAATTTAAGTAAATATAAGTATTAAGTTAGCTATAAATGACATAAAAGCTGTTCGATTGTGTCGGGAAATATCTAAGGAAATTTTCATATAAGCACTAGAAAATGCGTGTTTGCTGTAATGTAAGCCTGGCTGTCAAGTTCAAGTGTCTTTCATATATCTATATTTACAACTTGGGTTTAACTATTAGTAAAGCTTTTGCTGAATTTATTTCTGTAACTATGTTATAGCTAGAATTTTTATATCTGAAGTTTCTCGCATATTTATGCTTCCTCTCGAGAGGATGCACAACAAAAAAATATGGTATCTGCGCCTTCAAATTCAAACAATTTGGCAAACAAGCCAGCCACACACACACACATACACACACATATGCATTAAGTTGACAGTGTCAATATTTGCTATAAGAGCAATAAATTGCCATTATCATAACGATGTGCGCCGCATACCCTGAAAATGCCTTTGGCCCACATGCCGAACGCATGACACGCAGCGCATTCTCAATAAGAAACGTGAGGTGGCTGCCAAAAACAAAAACAAAATCAACAAAAAATCAGCATAAAATGTACGAAAAATTAACGAGCGACGCGGGCGAGGCAGAGGGTAGCGGACAAATGTTCATGATGATGATGGTGATGTTGATGGGAAACACGCCCTTTAATGGACTTATGAACCCATTTGATAAAAAAGAAAAATCGAATTCAAATTTGATAAAAAATTTGACATTTTTGGCTTTTGCAACTTACGCTTCGTCCGCGGCGGAGGCGTGCACCATAAACGTGGAAGAGGCGGGGCCGGCATGCCGCGTTGCTGGGGGACCGCAAATGAGCAGCAATAACAGAGGCTGAGCGGCAAGAAATGCGGTCAAAATGACAGCAAAATGTGTCATCAACTTTTCGCATGTACCAAACATTTTGCTAGCATTTTTCAAACTTTTTTTGTTGTTCTTTGCTGGTTGTGCACAACCGAATTACACACAGACACACACACTCTCACACTCAGTTACTAACTCAGTGCATTTGCTACCAAATTTGGTATACAATTTTGGGTGGAGTCGCGACGTCAGCAGCGACGCCAACGCTGGCGCCACACGATTTCGTTGCTTTTTTTTCTACTTCAGTTATATTTTTTCCATCACATGCGGCGAATGCGTAATGTTTGTGAAGTATTGCATACAAGAATGGCGTTAAATTGAAATCTAGTTACGAAAAATTCTCATTTATATTGAATTGTTTTGTTGTTTTTCGGTTAAATTTATTTTCAGCTGAACAACGAATTTAGTTTTCCCTCAGCTGTGCGTTGAAATTTTCTATATATAAACTTTTGCTCTTAGTGCGGCGGGGCTACGTTTTGATTACACATATGGCACACTGTCGCGCGCGTTTGTATGTGTATGTTAATGTGTGTGTATAAGTATGTGTATTTATATATATATTTGTGTGTGTGTGTGTTGGTGTATGTGTGTTGTGGTGTGTCGAGTTGATCCGCTTGATTTTCGGCTACCGCCAACGTTGAAGAGCTGCGATTGACTAAAGTGGAAAAACACAAAAATTATTCTAAATGCTCCCAGGGAGAGAGCATGCGACTCTTGCCCTATTTATAGTTACGCTCTCTTACACGCACACATTCAGTCACTCTCTCTCTCTTTCGTCTGTTTACACTGGCCAGGCGGCTCAGCTGTTTTTGCTATCCTATATTGATTTTGTCATGAGGGATTCCACAGCTCCACACACAAAGGCATTCCGTTGCCTGCTGCTGCTTCTTCTACTTATTGCCTGCTATGCTTTGTGCCGCATATTCATAACAGAGCGCATATGCTATTCCCAGCGTAGCGACTCTCTTGCGCGTTATAAAGAAAGAGCACGAATTGCTATAAATATTAGTTTTATTATTTTTCTTTGGTCTTTTTTCATAGAAATTTAAAAGATATTCTATAAAAATGAAAAAAATTGTAAGTGCTCAGAATCAGTTAAATTTGTTATTTAATATTTTGCTCAGAAATTTTCCAATAATCTGATTTTTATATTATAGACGGTAAAATTGGGTTTCAAATATGCTGTAGGCCAACTTTATTTAGGCGCTAACTTGCCGGTTAATAGGCATTCAATCAAGTAGTTAATCAACGAGCCGTTTGAATAAAGAATATTTTTTTCTTAAGTAATTTATTTGTTCAGATATATTTATGCTGACTCAAAAAACTAAATTATATTTCGATATTTAAGATATTGCAAATTATAAGTTTTCCCCAATTTTTTTTTTATATTAAAAATATTGTATACAAAGAGATAATCAAATGTAACTATGCTCTTCTCGTATTTATTGAATTATTTGTTTCAGATATTTTTGTTGGCAAATTGTTTTTCGAAATTGAAAGAGCAATTAAATTTCTTAAATATCTGATGTACTTTATCCTTGATTAAACCCAAAAATTATGTGACCATTATTTATAAGATAATTTTTAACAGTTGAAAAATATAGTAAGATAAGCTCATTTCATTTAATTTAATTATATATACTATTTCATTTGATTTTAATTTTAATACAATTTTAAATTTTTCATATACGCTACGAGTTTTTTTATTATATAACAATGATTGTGCCTATAAATAATTAAAAAGCTGATATGCACATTTATATAAATCTTTTTTTCCGCTTTTCGAATATTAAAAAAATATTGATGGCATTTGTTGGTGCTGAAATCTCTAGTGCGCTTAACATATTTTCAATTAATATATAATATCAATTGCTGTTGAGATTCCAATTTAATTGATATGAATTACTGTTAAGCTCATTTAATACAATGATTTATTTATTTCCGTTTCCTGTTGCCGTTGCTAATGCTTCATAAATCCAAATTAGGCTGTGGCCATATTTTGGCGTCAATTCGCGGCAAAATCATTTTCATATTTCTCTATTCTACGCCAAACGCTCAGTGCGATAAATGAAATTACACACACATAATATACATAAATATATACATATAGACACTAATATATGCTTAGTTGAAGTATGCTTGCCTGGCATTGTCATGAAGACATGTAGACGAACGAAGTGCCTCAGCAGCCAGGCGAATGATGATGCTGTTGAGGTTAACTATGAGTAGGACGACAACGTGCTTAGTCAAATTTTTAATGAACTCAACAGCGTTTTACTTTTAAAAGCAGCACGAAACACAAAACTACAACAAACAGCTGCACAAGGATCACATTATGAAGGACACTTTTTAGTGCAGTCGCCTGCAGTTGGCAGACTACAAAGCAAGCCACAAGACATGGCTTGTCTGCGCCAGTCTGAAAGTGTATCACGGCGAGTTGTTAGCATTTGCTAGCCAATGTGGGGCAGTGAAGAATGAAGTATTAGTAATAAGCAGGAACAATTAGAATATGTGATCCATGTGATGTAGTTCTGCTCTGATTTATTTTCACTTTACAATGACGCCTTTATAGCCTTCCCGCGGCCCCATAATAAGAGTGCCATTCGCCTTCGTCTCTTCTTGATAAGCTGTAACAAGTTGTGAATCATATTTTTACTACAGCTTGTATATGCCAGAGCATTCATTTCGAAGCTTTCTATTTAGAGGAACATTAATCGTTTAGGTTTGTTTTCAAAACAAATATCTTTCTTATATCCTATTAAAAATATCGATATTCATATTCAAAATTTATAATTGTTTTTAACATCACAGAACAACTAAAAATTTCTTTGACAAAATTCTTGAAGTGAAGTAACAAAAATTCCATATACTTATCAAACGTCGTTTATAGTAGACTTCCAATGCTATAGTATCTACTATCGTATACCCATTCTTTTATTCACATATTCCAAGCTTTAAGTCTTTCATCTTCAATATCGTATATATTCCTTACATATCTGATTACTTGCTATTATATTGTATTCATCTATATATGCCCAAGGGTATTTTAGCACCTTTTATCGTAAATTTCTCATAGTTTACTAGCTAATATATGGTAAAGTTCTCTTATTTAACCAGCCCAAGGGCATTCAAACAAAACCTTTTACTCGCAAGTTTCTTTTACTTAAGCAGCCAATAGCTGCAGCTTAGATATCTATGTATGCCCAAGGGTATTTAAAGTTCGTTATTTAATTTTCAGCTTTGGCTTTTATGTGTGTGTGGCCGCCTCAAGGGTATTTTAAATTCGTTTTATCGCTGCTGTCGCCATGTTTTTGCTGGTGCTGAGGTAGGCTTAATTACGAGTTGGCATTTTTATTTCGCATAGCATACTTTTCAGGGCAGCCCAAGCCAAGCCATGCCATGCCAAGCGAGGCGCACGACCTGCTGCGCTACATGATAATGAGCATAATTTGTGGCAGACGCCAAAACACGCAACTGCCACAAAGATGCGAGATTGCGTGCGTGTGTGTGGGTGGGGATGGGGTTGTTGGGTTGTGCGCTGGGATGTGTGTTAGGGTGTGTGATGTAAAGACATGTCGTGAAACTTTTTGGGCCGCCTCCGTCACAAAAGCGGTTGAGCCTGTGTATTTTGTTCACCCCATAAAATTGCTCCGTGTGCATTTCATTTGCATGAAATTTATGAGCCGCGTGTCGGCGTCCAGGCCACATCGGACAAGTGTAGCGCACTTGGCAGCGCGTGTAACTGACATCCTTTGATGCTCTTGCTACTGGCCTTGCCTCATGATTACAGCTAACCGCCCACTTCTGGTTAACTGAATTCCTAATTAGTCACTAAAGCAAAACCTCAACTGTTCAAGCGAAGCAGATAGAGCAAGAACCAATCGAATAGCATCACATTGATATAGCTTGCAGCATCAGCAGCAGCAGCATATCATAAAGTTTCTAGCAATTGCCAAGTTTTTTACAGCATATTTTTTCTTTTGCTTTTCTTCTTATTTCGTGCGCTCCCCTGAGGGCAATTCGGGACAATATTTGCCAGCAACAGCAACAACTACATGAACTTGTGTTTGTTTCCTCAACAATGAACAGACAGGAAAAACGAGAATGAAAATCGAATTGATAATCAAGAAAATGATACAAAAATAAAAACAAAACTGGCAAGTCCAGCTAGTGTACAGGGCGTTGTTTTAGAGAGGTTTGGAATGGAAATAAATCAATTTAAAAAATAGTTACATAATATGAATTAATAAAAATAAACAACATAAATAAAAGAAGTCTTAAATTATATAAATAAATCAATCAAAATGAGACCTTATTTTTCATAATTAATTCTCTACCTGGAATACCCTTAATTTTAAACAGGCAATAGCCAATATTGTTGATATAGAGAGTTGCTTAATTAAATATAATAAATACTTAAGGAATACATGCATTAAATACAAGGATACATAAACTTAATGTAAAAATTAATAAAATATTTTATAATATATCAAAATGCCTGATAATCGAGCCCATGAGTGTAATTCTTCGTAATTGTGGCAGGTTTTTATAAAATACATTTTTGTAATATTTAATTTAATAAAATATTTTATAATATTTAGTATTAAAAAATTTAAGATTTTCGTATATATAAACGACAAAAATCGAGCAATTGCTGTGTCTTCATACGGAACACCCTGTATTTGGCATAGGCGAATGCACATCAATTGCTTGAGCAGTCACCCATTTTTCATTTTATTTTCGCGCTGCTCTTGGCAACGGTCACCAATGTAACAGCTACAGCAACAGCAACGTGAACTAAAGCAACCAAAAAAATTGTAAAGATCCTGACAGCCGTGTCAAATGCCGTTTGCCATTTTGTAACATTGGCCCAATGCCAAGAGTGTAATTGTGTGTGTGTGTGTGTGTGCGTGTGCGTGTGTGTTTGCCGTTGTGTGACAATTTTTTGACATGAATATTTTACACGTTTATTGCAAAATGGCATTTCGTTGATATTTTTAGGGGCTTTGTTTGGCATTGAATTGCAATCGAGTCCTTTGAGAGACCAACCGAATCAATTTATGAGACGACAGGAGAGGAAACGCTGTGTTGACCAAGCCCAAACAGGCGCTTGTTATTCACAGTTGGCTGACGCTGTTGTATGTGTGACAATAGCCACACAGCATTCGATCAGGACCGCAAGTCCTTAGCCAAAATATTGCTGTCAATGACACAAAAATGTGAACGTGCGCGCAGTCAGCGGAAACAATCGAAGCGGAGCGAAAAAAGGGTCCTGTGGAGAGGGGCGCGAGGCAGCTCGTTACATGTCCATAAAAGTTTCTGCGACAAGACACGCTGCATGTCCTTTGACATGAGCTCTGACAGCTGCGACTCGAAAGCGAGCCAACTTCATAGCATACTTTCCAGCACTCGCAACGTTTAATTGCATATCAGTTAACAAGGAGGAGAAAGGGAAAGGAGGGGAGGGGGCACAGCATTTCGTACTACATAAATTTGCAATGAGCCCACGTCTGGGCGGGTCGTCCTGCTCTCGACGATAATTTATGAACTTGTGCCCATTTGCTGTGCTTATGGCCGTAAATTATGGCCACTTTTACGTGTGTCCTTGTATCCTTTTTCACGTCTCCCCACACACGCATGGCATATAAAGCTCTGCCGTCGACACATTGTTGTTATCCATACACAAGCAGAAGCCTGAATCGAAATGTCCTTTGTGCAAGGCAGAACGGAAATGTTCTCATTAATTAATTTATACATTTGGCTAATTTGTAATTGGGTTATTCAAAAAAAAAAAGGCAAACAAGGAATCTGTTATATCATTGACACATTTGTTGTAAACTGAAACCGCTAATTTGTTGTCGAGTAAAGTGATATTTAATTATTAAAATGACAGTTTGTATATAGCCATTTAACAGGCATAAAGCGTTTAAGCATGCGAGAAGATTTAACTAAGCTGGCAAATATAAACCCAAATTGTAAATTGATTTGAAGTGAAATGCGTCGAATGAAGAGTGAAATTGTTATGATGTTTGTGTTGTGAATAGGCTTAAGTTTTTCTAAG